GATAAATGATGTGGTGGTGATATACCTTTCCTTTGGGTGGGGAGAGAAGGTCAAAAACAAAAACAAAAGCAGATGAAATTGAATAATAGTAATTAAAAGTGTCCCCCTTTCCTCCTGTGGTGGGTGGTATAATGACCTCCAAAGATGCTCACCTCCCAATCCCAGAAGCTATATGTTACCTTGTCTACATGGAAGAAGGGGCTCTGCAGATGGCATTAAGGTGAGAAACCCTGGAGGTTATCCTGAATTACCCAGGTGGGTACATGAATCCTTAAAAGTGGAGAAGCTTCCTCAGCTGATGTGACTAGTGACGAATGGTCAGAGGGAAAGGCTCTGCTGTGAGCTGTGAAGATGGAGGAAGGCCAAGGAACGGGGTGGCCTTTAGAAGCCTGAAGAAGGCAAAGAAACCCGTTCTCCACTACAGCCTCAAGAAAGGAGTGCAGCCCCACTGACACCTTGAACTCAACCCCATGAGACTTCTGTCCTTCTGTCCCAGGAGTATGTGAACATAAGATGTTAGTAATGGAAAAATGGGTATCAGGTAAGAGGGAACTCCCTCTACTCTCTTTGAATTTTTCTGTAAATCTCAAACTATCCTCACATAAAGTTTATTAAAAATAGGGAGGAGCTTCCAGCTAAATAAATAAGTCAGGGAGATGATAAGTACCGCAAAGGGAATACAGTCAACAATATTGTAACAATTTTAGCAACAGATGGTGACCACATTCAAAGGGGTGAGCATTTTGCTATGTATACAATTCTTGGATGGCTAGTTGTACACCTGAAAATAACATGATATTGTGTATCGACCCTACTTCAAGAAAACTTTAATTAAAAAGAGGGTCACCTGGGTGGCTCAGTTGGTTAAGCTTCTGACTTTGACTCAGGTCATGATTTCCGGGTCCTGGGATTGAGCCCCATGACAGGCTCCCTGCTCAGTGGGGAGCCTGCTTCTCTGCCTCCCTCTGGTCCTTCCCCACCCTACACGGGCACGTGCTTTCTCTCTCAAATAAATAAATAAAATATTTTTAAAAAACTTTTTATTTTTTTTTAAAGATTTTTAATTTATTCATGAGACACACAGAGAGGGAGGCAGAGGGAGAAGCAGGCTCTATGTAAGGAGCCCGATATGGGACTCAAACCCAGGAATCCAGGATCTCGCCCTGGGCCAAAGGCAGGCACCCAACCACTGAGCCACTCAGGTGGTTCCTAAAAAAACTTTTTAAATTAAGAAGATAAACTGCCCCATCCCTGACCAATTACATCAGAACCTCTGTCTTGGGGATCAAGCATCAGGATTTTAAAAAGTCTCTCTAGGTGCTTCAAACCTGTAACCGAGGTTGAGAGCCACTCATGCATTGAAAGCATCTCATAAACTCAAAAGCATGATGAAAGTGCAGGTTGTTGTGATTCACCAACCAGTGTATTATCTTTAGTTACACAAGTACCACTGACCATGGTAAATTTAAAGATCTAGGGAGAGGAGGGTGCCTGGGTGGCTCAGCTGGTTAAGCATCTGCCTTTGGCTCAGGTCATGATCCCAGGGTCTTGGAATTGAGCCTCATTTTAGGGTCCCTGCTCAGAGAGGAGTCTGCTTCTCCCTCTGCCCCTCCCCTTGTTTGTGCTTGCTCGCTCGCTCTCAATAAACAAACAAACAAATAAAAAAAACCTAGGGAGAAATAAAAATTAAAATCCCCCTGAATCCTGCCCCCTAGTGGTATCTCCATCCTCTGTTTTCGGTGAACGCCTTTTTACACTTCTTGTTCTCCTGGATATCTCCATTTTTGATTATTCCTGTTATTATCAAAACACAAAATTGGGCTGCGATGGGCAGCCGCATACCCCCAGGGGCCTGGAGCTTCCAGTCTACTGCAGTATCCTTCATCTTTAGGGAGGGGATGGGGAGCCCAGCCCTAGTGAGAAGAGAGAAGCTGGAGGAGTGGCTGATGTTGGAATGCTGTGAACACCCAGCGTGGACCAATGTGCCTTGGCAATGCCACCTACTAAGTAAGTGAGGAAATGGCATGGCCTCCGATGCCATCACACTTCAGCCAATGGGGAACTGCTCCCATGTCGTCACGCCATGTCTCCAGCCCTGTTTTCTCCTCCTGTGCTAGGACACCCAAAGACACAGGTCCAAGAACAGCCCTCCTCACGGTGCTGGCCCAGGGCCCGGCCTGAGCGGCGTCCACCTGCCAGGGCTTCCCCTCTCCACCCCCCGTGGGCTGTAGTCATCAACCTGTCATGAAATATTTAATATTGCTGAACTCTTTAAATGGCCCAGCTGGTCCGCATCTGCTGGCCTCTTTTAAGAGCGACACCTGCAAGTCACAAGATCCTGGAAACACGATCTGAAGAGGGAGCAGCAAGCTCTGAAGGTTGCGTGTAAATCCTGGCTTGCACAGTCCTGGCTGTGTGACCTCAAGAGAGTGTCTTGGCTTATCGGGGGTCTCAGTTTCCTCCTAGACAGAATGGAGGCAGAACTCCCAGGGGCTGGAGGAAGGCTTACGTGAGGGAATATATCCCAAAGTGTCTGGCACATGGTATTCAAATAATGTTAGTTCTGTTTTGTCTTTTTTTTTTTGCTTTCTTTCTATGTTATGCTTCCCCATTTCTTTAGAAGAAGAAGGGGTTCAAAAGCAGGTAATCTACTCATTTCTTCCCAACATATATTTATGGTGAGCCTACTCTGCGCTGGATGCCCTGAGGATAGGAGGGAAGGTGGTGATCCCTGCTGAGAAGGCCGGGCCTAGGACCAGACAGGGTGAGGCTTCTACCACCTTCCTTGGGGCAAGGATACCGCCCTCTGAGGCTCAGTTTAGACAACTGTAAAACAGGAATGATAAGGGGTGTCTGGGGTCACCTGGGTGGCTCAGTGGTTGGGCATCTGTCTTTGGCTGGGGTCATGATCCCGGGGTCCCAGGATCGACTCCCACAATTGGGCTCCCTGCAGGGAGCCTGCTTCTCCCTTTGCCTGTGTCTCTGCCTCTCTCTCTGGGTCTCTCATGAATAAATAAATAAAATCTTAAAATGAAAAAAAGAAAGGAAGAAAACAAGGCTCAGGGAACAGAGAGGACTCACTCAAAAGGCATAAAATCAGGACATAAGCCAGGTCTCCCCCTACCCAATGCACATATTTCTTTCCACGCCCCCCCCCAACATCCACATATTTCTGAAGTTCCTACCATACTCACAGAGACCCACCAACAAGCATTTATGTATTGGGCTCTTTTGCTGGGCTGACCCCAGGGGGCAGCTGCCTCCCTGGTCCACTGGGGACATAATATGGAAAAGTGGCCATGAGCCTGGCCAAAGGGATAGGGGCCAACAGGAGGGGCAATGCATGCCTCATGCATGGGGCAGGGCCAATCCTAGGTCAGCACGAGTGGAGTCATGGGAGATGTGAAGAAAGAGTACTTACCTGAGATGCACCAGGTACTCTGCTACCGTGTGCTCTCCACTGAAACCTTCATTTCGTCCCATAAGGGCAACTCTAAAAAATAGCACTGCTGGTATTCTTGTTAAAAGGTAAACTGAGGCACATTATATTTTTTTTTTCAAGAGTGTACTTGGAATATATCAATTTTAACTGGGTAGTGCCAGGCCAACGTGGGTAGGAACTCTGCCACACACAGGACCTGGGGGAGAGCTTTTTTTTTTTATAGAGAAGAGACAAAGCAAAGCAAGGAAATCATTTTATTGGCTACAGCTTAAGTAGTTGCTTTATTTGGGCAAGGCTAGGTGGCTGTTTGACCTCACGTTTACTTTTTCTCAGATTTGAGAGCCTTGATTCTGGTGTTGGTTTTGGTTTGCTTGCTGGGCTAGCAAGGCATCAGAGCTGCCTCATCTAATGGTCTCCCTGTTCAATTACTTGACCATTCTCTTTTCCCAGAGAGGTGAGGTGAGGTGACCTGCCCAAGACCTCACAACTGGCTTGTGGGGGGTCGGAATAGAGGCCAAAATGTTCAAGATACTAACTATGCTGTACCCAGAAAAAAAACCCAGACAGATGAAAGAGAATGAAGGGAGGAATTAAGAGAATTAAACATGAAGAATGAGAAAACAAAAGAGGATAAATGAGTGAAGTCATCTTTATGACTTTTTTAAGGTAAGTTTATTTAAACAAAATTTTAAACTATGCTTTATGCCCAACACGGGGCTTGAACTCATGATCTAGACATCAGGAGTCCGCAGGTTCCCCCAAATGAGCCAAGTGCACACCCCTTTACCACCGTTTTCATACATAAAATAATACATGTAACACATGTGAGTCCTAAAGCACCAATGAACACCCTTGTACCCACCACCAAGCTAGACAATAGTTGCCAATAGCTTGTATGCACTTAGGTGACCGGTTCTTGGAACCCGGGGCACACTGAGTGCATCTGGGGGCCCGACAACCCTGACAACTGGGGAACCTGATGGGATCGGTCTGGAGTTTGGTTCTGGGCATCTGAATTTATTTGTGTCTCTTGTTTAAAGGCATCTGGACTTAAAAAAAAGAAAGCTCTATTTACTCATGAGAGACACAGGCAGAGGGAGAAGCAGGCTCCACGCAGGGCGCCGACGCGGGACTCGATCCCGGGTCCCCAGGATCACGCCCCCGGCCGAAGGCGGACGCCCAACCGCTGAGCCCCCAGGCGCCTCGGCAGCGGCCGTTTAGGACCTCCCCCGGGGAATCTCCGGGTGCAGCCAGGCCCGAGACCCGCCCCAATCCTCACCTCGATCACCACCCCCCACCCGCACCCCTCGCAGGGAACTACCAGCCTGAATCTTGCGTAGTCGTGAACAGGATTCTCTTTGCCTTCATCCTTCCTTGGTTCCGGGACTAGCGATGTTTGGGATTGATCTCCCGCCCCACCGCGAGAGGGCGCCAGAGGAAAAAAAAAAAAACCCCAAACCAGCCTCGTTTCTCTCCGCGCGTTTGGGATCGCGCTGGAGGCAGTTTGGCCCTCGCGGCGCTCCGTCGTCGGTCCGTTGCCCGGGCAACGGGCGGGGAAACCGCCGGCGTGGGTGCGGTGCGGCGCCGGGAAGGTGGCGGCGGGACGGGGCGGGCCTGGTTGGGGCACGCGCGAGCTCGACGGGGGCACTTTTCGGAAACTCCGGGGCGCTGAGAAACGTGAGTCGGAGGGTGGGCTCGGCCGGGCCGGTGTGGGCGCCGGGACCCAGTGGCCCCGCGCGGGCGGGAACCGTGGCGGACGTCCTGGGGCCCGGCCTCCCCGCGCCCCCCCGCCCCGTCCCCGCGCCCCCTGCGGCCGTCCTGCGCCCTCCCCGCACCCACCCTGCGGCTGTCCCGCGCCACCCCCCCCGCCCCCGCGCGTCCCTGCTCCGTCCCTGCGCCGTCCCTGCGCGGTCCCTGCGCCTTGCTCTGCAACTCCTTTTGTCCTAGGAGGCTGTCTTAGGGGCTGAGAGAAAGAGGCGATCCGGGACCAGTCTCGTTTCTTGATTCCTGGGGCAGAGCTTTTCATGGGGGGCTTTTGGGGCAGGGAAAAAATGATGCCAGTCCGCCCCAGTTTCAAGACAGGCTGTAAACTGGCAGCCACAGACTGAACTTGGTCCATGAACGCACATTATTTTCTTGCAGGTCTGAGCGTTGAGTTTGAGGCTTGGCCTGGACCCAGACTTCTAAGCATATTCAGCAAACATTCCATGAGCACTGTCGTGGCCAGACACTGTGTAGGCCCTGCCCATCGGGGCAGCCCTGGGGGTCAGGGAGAGGGGTGCCTGGACTGAGACTGCTGCCTGCTTTCAAGTCTCCATTGTGTCCCCGTTTTGCGTCGTGACGTGGGCAACTCGATTCCTTTCTGGGTCTCAGTTTCTCCATTTTTTTTTAAAATTTTTATTTATTTTATGATAGTCACACACACAGAGAGAGAGAAAGAGGCAGAGACATAGGCAGAGGGAGAAGCAGGCTCCATGCACCGGGAGCCCGACGTGGGACTCGATCCGGGGTCTCCAGAATCGGGCCCTGGGCCAAAGGCAGGCGCCAAACCACTGCGCCACCCAGGGATCCCGGTTTCTCCATTTCTAAGTGGAGGAATGTCACCCCTGTGCTAATCCAGAACACTTCCAGGTGTGACAGCCAGGCTGGAGCACTCCCTGGGGGTTGCCTGACCCAGGGCCTGTTGGTCCCCATGGGCAGCCTATTGACATCTACAGAGCCCAGGCGCTGGTCTGACACTGGCGTGAATTAGGTTCCCAGCCCTTTCATCTCTTCTGCTTCCTGGCTCTGTGGTCTTGGGCAAGTCACTTTACCATTTTGAACTTGAGTTTGCTCATCTGCCAAATAATGGGGTGATTTTAACAATAAAAAAGATCATGTATGCCAAGAGCTTGGCACATATATACATTCCTGAAATCGTTATCCCTGTTACTTGGTGGAGAACATAGAAGCCCCCAAGTGCTTGGGTCAGCATTGGTTCCCTGTCTTCGTCTGCAACGCCCTTGATGATGTCTGGCTCACAGCTGGGTGCTGTCCAGGCTCATTTAAAATAATGATATGAAAATCATTTTAAAAATGCTGATGCCTGGGGGCTGGCACTAAGACTTTTGGTGTCATTGGTTTGGAGTGGGGTAATTCCAGGGGGCAGCCAAGGGGTGAGGACCGCTCATTAGGGAGCTGCAGCTGGCCCATTTTCGTACCATTGCCATTCTCTTCAGATGGCACTTCCCACGCTGCCCTCCTACTGGTGCAGCCGGAGGCTCCTGGACCAGCAGATGGCCCGACAGCGACACCAAGAGCAGGAGGCCCGGCTTCGGCAGCAGTGGGACCAGAACAGCCGCTACTTCAGGATGTCTGATATCTGTAGCTCCAAACAGGCGGAATGGAGCTCCAAGACCTCCTACCAGCGGAGGTACCTGCTGGGACCTTGGTGGGACAAAGGCAGGAAGCCACTTGTTGGTTACAGCTTGTGGCTTTAAGAACCCCTGGCGGGGGGTGGGGAGGTGGAACATAGCTTAACAGTATGTTTTCTTGAATTTGCTGGACGGCATAGATGACTTGCATGGTGATGTTTTCCCAACTGACCATTGAAAAGGAAGATCATCATGAAATGATATGTTTGCACTGAAAAAGAGAAAAGAATAGGAAATACACGTAGAATTTGGGAGTCTCCTGGTAACCCTAGATCCCCTGAGGGAACTACAATTAACAGTCTAATATGGATCCTCCTGTGCTTTTCCCCAGTTGTGTGTGTATAAATATACATATACATGTACATCCTTTGTTGCAGAAATATGTGTAAAGATGTGAAAGTTAAAAGCGTAGGCTTCCAAGTCAGACAAACCTAGATGGAAATCCTGACTGTGTCACTTGCTGTAGGAATGAGCCTCAGTTTCTTCTTCAGTGAAGTAGGGCTACAACAGGACCTCCTTTGTAGGACTTTTGATTAATAGAAAGCCATCCATGCACATAGTATCTGGTACATGGTTACTGCTCAAAGTTAGCTGGTACATGCATATTTGAGACCACTGTACATTTTCTTTTCACAAAAACCAGATTCTGTTATGCATAGTGTTCTGTGACCCGCTGTCTTTGCTTTGGCTGGAAGACACTAGCCCGTGTCACCATGTCATGTCCACCTCAGCCTCCTTTGCCACGCAGCAGAGCAGAGCATGGCATGTGTGGCTCTAGTGCGGCTGATTTAGGGAGGGCTCCCTCTCACCCAGCATGTATGCCTATCAGCGTGAGAAGATGAAGGAGGAGAAGAGGAAGCAGCTGGAAGGCAGACGGGAGAGACTCAGGCAGCTGCTGCTGGAGGAGCAGGAGCTGCTGGCCAGAGAACTCGAGGCGCTGCGGTTAAGCATGGACTTGCGGGAGGGAAGAATCCGGGAGCGGCACGGCAGTCTGAAGTCGGCCCGAGAAGAGCAAAGGAAACTGGTAACTTCTAGCCCTTTAGGAGCAACAGAGCAGGAGTGTCCCCTGCCTGTCAGTGACATGTGGGATCACAGCTGGGCACGCTGGGCTGATCAGACAGCAGTTAACTGCAAAGCCAGCAGGGGGAGGTACTTGTGCTGCATTGTTCATGATATGTGTTTTGCACAAGCCACCTCTGTTCTCTTTGGCCCCTTAAATCATTATGTCAGAGTCCTTTGTCTTCATTCCAGTCCTGTGGTCCCACAAAGGCTTGGCACTGGTGTATTTTATCTTCCAAGTAGTTGTGGGGAATGGTGAGCACCAGTCTGTGTATTTAAGCCTGCTGTATATTTTGCAACAGATCTGTCACATCTGGGACGCATCTGTAGCATCAGATCTTGGCACCCTTCCATCACTATTGTGGGAGTCATTTGTCAAGGCTGTCTGGTTCCACTCTGGTGTCTCCCAGAGTCGGGGGTGTAAGGCAGGCAGGAGGTCTGAAGGGCAGGTGCAATGATGGCGTGCCAGTGGAGGGGCTCTCAGCCTGAGCTGACTTCCACTGGGAGTTATCCAAAATATGAATGGATTTGAAAAGTGACATCAGGCTTCTTCCCTTTTTGTGTGTTTTCTTGACAGATTGCTGAACAACTTTTGTATGAACACTGGAAGAAGAACAACCCCAAACTTCGAGAGGTGAAAATCTTTGATTTGCCTAAGTAGATGAAATCATGTTTCCCTTCTTGTTTTTTTAAGCTGGCATCTCTTGCTGGGGTGAAACAAGAGAGAACACCCCAGCCACCTGAAAAACGTACCATACAGATCTGGTTTGTTTGGTGATCAGCCAACACTTACTGAACATTTGCCGTATGGTCCACCACCTGGGCATGTGATTAGATGGGGCCCCACTCTTCAGGAATTTGTGTCCAGTGCAGGTTGCAGTGGGCTGGGCAGGCCCAGAAAGCTGGGCATCAGGGCAGTGCCCCCAACTCAGTGGGGGGTTAGAGAGGCATCTCAGAGGAGTTGCTGGGGTGGAGGAGTTTGGAAGGACATGGGCATTAACTTGATGGTGTCGAGGTGAGGAAAGGACATTCCAGCTTGAGGCAGCTGAGCAAGGATCAGGTCTGAGACCTGATCCTTTTTTTTTTTTTTTTTCACACTTAGCATATGCAACTTTAATCAACCAAAAGAAAAAGTCCCAAATGTACAAGTGGAAAAAAAAAATGTTGACACAGGCTTAACTAGTATCAGCTACTTTTATGTACAGCTGTATAAGTTCAAAAAAGCTATCCTATATGTATATACAAAAGTTGTTTATACACAAGTCTGTACATAGGGTCTATACATTTATTTCCTTAGAACCCTTGGGTGCCACATTTTGGTGAAGACACCAACACTTCATTCACATATCTTACAAAAAAAAGACTATTTCCAGGATTGATAGCAACACTGCATCCTGGATTCAGACCACGTAGGCTCCATTCAGTTGGTTAAGATCCTTCTGTCAGTGCAGACCACACCAGGTGCCTGGGCTTCCCTAAATAGTTTTGCACAGAGTGCTCCAAAGTGAAAGTCCGTAAACCAACCCGAGATGAGGAAGCAGAGTCCTAATCAGGGTGCCACCAGCATCCAGGGAGCAACAGTGGCTGGGGGGTTGTGCCATCAGAGAGGGAGGGGCTGTTGCAGGAACGAGGCTAGTGAGGCAGGCAGGCCCAGACTGGCCAGCCTTGTGAGACCTCCTGGAAGCACTGAGGAGCCACCTGGATAGTTTTAAGCAGGGTATAGCGGGATTCCAGCTACCTTTCGAGGAGGAGTAGCTTTGGCAGCAGTGTTGAGGTGGACAGGAGGGGATGAGGCCAGGGCAGTGGTAGTGGAGGCCAGAATGGGGTGGCAGGAGAAAGGAGGGCAATATGCAAGACCTGGGGGCAAGGGAGGGCATCCTTCCACGGAGACTGGCCTAGGGGAAGATGATCCGTGATGATGTCAATAATTTATTTCTTTTTTTTTTTAATTTATTTATTTATGATAGTCACAGAGAGAGAGAGAGAGAGAGGCAGAGACATAGGCAGAGGGAGAAGCAGGCTCCATGCACCGGGAACCCGATATGGGATTCGATCCCGGGTCTCCAGGATCGCGCCCTGAGCCAAAGGCAGGCGCCAAACCGCTGCGCCACCCAGGGATCCCCAATAATTTATTTCAACTCAAACTTTGTATCTCTGTTTGGTGGTATGCATTTATTTATTCGTAATTATATTTAGAAATTGCTAGTCACTAAGTAATGGAGCAATTTGGTGCTTTTGAGTCTTGTGCAGCTAGCATTCAGACTTTCCCTGGCCATTTGAGGGTTTAGGTGGGTGCTCCAAAGTCTTTTACTCAGAAATGTTTATTTAGGACGCTTAATTAAATGTTAGAAATTAAAAATCTTTATAAATGATTTCCCAAACAAAAGCTTTTAGACAGTGCTACAATTCATTTTCTGATCCAAAAGATTCTCTAAACCCAAATCTCTTCCTTTTTTTTTTTTTTTTTTAAATGGGAGGCTTGAACTCAGGACCCTAAAATCATGACCTGAGCTAAGATCAAGAGTTGGATACTTAACTGACTGAGCCACCCAGGTGTCCCCCCAAATCTCTTAACCCCAGAAGTGTTGCATCATTGCTACAGGGAACACATGTTTATGCAACTCTGCTTTGCAGAGGGAGTTCTGAGTAGACAGGTACAAGGCGGCGTCTGCGCCTCAGTCAGCTCCTGCTGACTAGGGCCTGGCATGCTTTGGAGCAGGCAGGGGTGGCCCTTCTGATTGTATTTCCATTTCAGTGTACATTGACCTGCTCCTGCTCAACCCCAGGGGTGCCGGGAGAAAAGTTTGTGTTCCTTTGTTACAGCACTTAAGATTAGTTTAGAACTGCCTGGTCTTTTGGTTTACTGTCTGACTGGCATTCAGACTGTATATATGTTGGGGTCACCTTGTGCTCCCCTGTAAGACCCCTCCGCCTGTTCCCATGCCTAGGGAACTTATGGTCACTGCCATTGTGTGGCACTGCGCTGTGCAGTGTGCATCTGTCAGATGAACCAGTGAGGAAGTTAATCTTCTCTGCCTTCTCACCCTCAGATTGAATCAGCCCTTCACAAGGAGCATGTGATAAACTCCTGGAAAATGCAGAAAGAAGAAAAAAAACAGGTGTGGTATATGGCTCTGGAAATAGTCCTGCGTGCTGTGGTCGGAGTGCCACGTCTCCATGGTTTTGAAGTTTTCTTGTTTTTGATGTTAATGACGCCAGTCCAGGAATAGACTTTATCTCAGCTTACGTAACATGCTAAAGCTGAACAGCGCTTGCTCTTACACGTACGGAATCCTTTGTGATTGTTCTCGGGGCAAAGTAACACCAGGTGACCATTCCACTGGCGGGAATGTGCATCTTAAAGGTTGCTGTTGTTGCTGGCAGTCTCTTTTGATGTAGTTTGCATCATAAACTCTCGGCCTTGGCCCACAGCAGCACCTCTGGGGACAAAAGTCCACACCTGCCTAGAGCTACAGCATTGCCTCTGAGTTCATTTTGGAGAGTATTTTGCTGACTTTTGGAAGGAGCAGGAACCCTGGCCTTTTTAACCCCTCTGTTGTGCCGGGCACCGTGCTGAGTAATTTCCCCAGCGTTGTCTCTGAGGGAAGCATCACTCCCATGGTTCCCACCGTGAGAGCAGAGCCCAGGAAGATGCACCCTTGGCCAGGGTCACACTGCTGCTAAGTGGTACGACCCACTCTGGCGTAGATATGTCCAAATGAGGAACAGTGGCGGGGAACTGGGTCTTTGCTGGCCTTATTACAGATACTGATCTCCTGGGTTCTTTTGGGTCCATGTAGCAAGAAGCCACTAAAGAGGAAGAGAACAAACGGTCTGAAAATGAGTATGAACGGGCCCGAAGGGAAGCACTGGAGCGGATGAAAGCGGAGGAGGAGAGGAGGCAGTTGGAGGGCAAACTCCAGGCTGAGGCGCTGCTCCAGCAGATGGAGGAGCTGAAGCTGAAGGAGAAGGAGGTAAGGGCATGGCCCTGGCCACACAGCCGCCTCTTCTGCAGCCGTCTGTCATTATAAAACAGGCATTTCAAAAACTGCTGAATAGGTCCTGTTGAGGGACTAGGGGATGATTCTAGGTTCTCTCTTCTGACATGTATTCCCAGCTGTGGCTTTTCCATCCTCCTGGGTTTTAGGCCCAGATTCTAGAATGTTCACGATGTAGAGAGAATACCTATTCTCTCCTAGGTGTGTTTTGAGAGCGGCTGTGTGAGTGCCTTCTTAGAACTTGGATTTTCCAGGGTATTAAGTAGACTTGATTTAGTCTGATGTTCTAGCACATAGCTACAGCTCTCCCCAGCTGGCAGGTTTGGGATCTCAAGGCATAAACTGTGAGGATCTTTGGTTCCCGAGGCCATTCTGAAAATAGTGTGCACTTTCCCTGAGCTAGAATCCTGGGCTGGATCTTCCCATTTGGATGAGGGAAGCCTGTCCCTCCTCAAGCCCAAATGATTCAGGAACCAGGTCCTGAATGTGCCCACTCTTTGCTCGATAGTGAGCCAGGCCCACAGTCCTGGCCCTCATGGCAGGAGCCGTGTCAGTTGGGGAGACAGGTTAAATTATAGTAAGGTGTGGATGAGTGCAGGGTCCTGTGGGAGCATGGAGCATGGGTCTCATCCTTGTCCACAGGCTCAGGAAAGGCTCTTGTAGGAAATGAGTGAGACGGGGCTCAGAGCCCAGATGTGGGAGGGGGTTCTACTCACCCCTGGCCAGGCCAGCCCTGTTGGTTTGTGTCTGCTGAAAATGCGGATGAAGAACGAAGGGAGCTGTGATTCTGATGACCTTAATTGGGGTTACTGTCATCGTCACCACAGGCCACCAAACTGAAGAAGGAGCAGGAGAATCTGCTGAAGCAGCGGTGGGAGCTGGAGAGGCTGGAGGAAGAGAGGAAGCAAGTGGCAGCTTTCCGGCAGAAGGCGGAGCTAGGGTATGTGTGAGAAGGGCCCCGGACGGCTGGCCTGGCCTGGCGGGAGAGCCTCTCACTTTGCCAGTCTTGTGTGGGTGTCCCAAACCAGAAAGGATACAGTTTGTAGTAAGTAGTTGGCTGACCTCTGTTAATTGTTTATAAGACACTGAAGGCAGCACCTATTTTGCTCATTTCTAGACGCTTCCTGCGACATCAGTATAATGTGCAACTCAATAGGCGTACACAGCAGATCCAAGAGGAACTGGTGAGTCTAAGTCAGCCTGGCATTTCTTTCACCCTTTTTGGAAGAAAATGCTTTTCATTGCTCAGTAGCTGAGTGTGTCCTCATAATAAAACACCAGGGGAGATTCCGCCTTCACCAGCCCTGCAATCCCTGCCCCTCCCCAGCAGTGTCTGCGTCGGTATCCTTCTAGATATATTTACACGATGCAGAGGGAAGTGGTGAAGCTCTTTAAAAATTAAAGCGGCGTTCCTCATGATGTTTACCTAACAGTAAACCTCAAACACTGGGCGTGAGCTTGTTCTTTTTTACTAGCTGCTTGGTATTCCTGTTACGTATGTCTGTGACTTGCTAGTGACACAGAAACAGGGAGAGTGAATGAGCAAACCCATTTGCCTCCATCCTTGCCCGCTACATCAGAGTGGCCTGGGTGTGGCACTGCCATTGCTGGTGCCGGCACGCAGCTCTTCCCGAGGATGTCTTTCCCATCTCAGGAACCCCCCCCCCCAGAATTCCCTCATTCCTTACAGCACCCCACTGTAGAGATGTGCATAACAGCTGGTTTCCTACTATTGTGTGTTTGGGTCATTTTGGGGTTTTCCTCTTATAGAATAGCTGCAGTGAGCATATTGTGCACATGTCTTTGTGCCTTCGGGTGTCCAGTCTGTGCTCGCAGAAGTGAGACTGCTGCCCAATTATGTTCTCAGAAACTGCTACCAGGCGTGTCCACAGGCAGGGACATATGGCAGATGGGTCTCCCTTGGCAGAGTAAAGCCCCTGGGCCTCTCCTGTGTTGTTTTAAACCATACCTAAGTGGTTATACCCTGAATCTTCCCATCTCTGTCTTGAGAACCTTTGGAAGCATCACGAATGTCTGCTCTTAGGGCTGAGTGCAGAAAGGAGGGGCTGTGGGAGTGGGGCTATGGGTGCAGACAGGCTCCCAACGTGCCCACTATGCTTCCTCTTCCACCCTTCAGGAGGCGGACAAACGCATCCTGCAGGCGCTCATTGAGAAGGACGATGAGAACCAGCGCATGCACTTGGCCAGGCGGGAGCAGGCCCTGGCTGATGTGGCCTGGATGAAGCAGGTCATTGAAGAGCAGCTGCAGCTGGAGAGGGAGCGGGAGGCAGAGCTGCAGCTGCTGTTGAGGTGAGAGGTGGCACCTGTGTGGGCCTGACACTCCTGGCCTCTGCTCTGGTCCCTCACCTCCCCACGGGGCACCCAGAGGGTCTCCCATTGTTACTGAAACATCTGTCTGTCGGACCTGGCTTGTCGGGGAGGTTTCCCTGAAGTTATTTAAGGTAGAAATCATTAGGGTTTGTTTTGTTTATTTATTTGTTTATTTATTTTTAGAGTCATTAGGGTTTAGAGTAAGGATCTGTTCATTTAAAATCTTAGAAATATAAAGCAAATTGTTATAAACTGTGGAGATGCTGAATGCTTTTTAGGTCTATCATAAATGGTTCTGCATCCTAAAAATTAATCTAGTAGATTGAAATAATCAAATAATAGGTAACATTTGTTGAGCACTGATTGTGGGTCAGACACTAGGCAAAGCGCTTTCCCATCCTCATCTTATGAATCCTGACATCCAGCCGAGTGGTAGGTACTCAGGTCACCAGGACTCGAGGAAGGCGAGCCAGCAGTGACCCCAGGGGCAGGGCGACAGAGTTCAGCCAGGACTCCTCTCCATCTTCAGGGTCCTGACAGCTTCAGTTGCCTTGGTGTCTGAATGGCCTGGGAGCAGGTCATCGCAGCTGCATTTTGTAAGGAGGTGGGAGCAAACTCAGGCACCCTAAAGCCCTTACTATGGGAGTACCCCCAGGGAGCTTATCCGTAGTTGTCACCTGTGAACAGTTTGGGTGCAGAAACTGGTCTGAAGGCTGGCCCCATGGAAGACGTGTGTACCTGCTGGTCCTTTAGTTGCTCTCTGCTCCCAGTGGTGGCAGGGAGCCTGCTGTCATCTGCTCTGTGTTCCCAGGGAGGAGGCCAAGGAGATGTGGGAAAAGAGAGAGGCGGAGTGGGCCCGGGAGAGGAGCGCACGAGACAGACTGATGAGTGAGGTAATCCCGGCTGTGAGCTTGGACTGACCCTGCTAAATGTTCCGGAACACCGGCCTTGCTGGTTATCTTAAATAGGCTTTTAATGTCATTATGAAAGAAATATCAACTTATCAGAAAAAGATTCCTAAGTACAGGAAGTAAAAACTGAATTATCCAGACTCATCTACACAGTCATCAGTAATTGATTTCATTCGACTCTTCCTGTTTCTGTGCATAACCTGTGTTTCTGTGCATTCCCTGTTATACTGTGCGATTTGTTTTCAAACCTTCTAACATGCTTTTACATCTTCCTGGTAGATATCTTGATATCTGCATACTGTGTCATGTGGGTATACTGTAGTTTGTGCTCTACTTCCCTCTTGTGGGTATTCTTTTTTTCTAATTTTGAGGCATTACATGAAACATTGCAGGGGCATCTGGGTGGCTCAGTCAGTTAAGCGCCTGCCTTTGGCTTAGGTCATGATCCCAGGGTCCTGGGATTGAGCCTTGTGTTGGGCTCCCTGCTCAGCTAGGATCTGCTTCTACCTCTCCCCCAGCTTGTGCTTGCTTTCTCTCTCTCTGTCAAATAAAATCTTAAAAAAAAAGAAAAAAGAAACATTGTAGTGAACGTCTTGATGCATAAGGCTTTCCATTTTCCACATTTAGGATTTTTTTTTCTTGGGGTGCATCCCGGAAGTGGATTCATGGAGGAATGTAACTATTTTCTTTATCAGGACTTAAGTAAGTCATATGCATAAGGCATATCCCATTTAGAAAGAAATTTTTTAGGGGCTCCTGGCTGGCTCAGTTGGTGGAGCATGTTCCTCTTAATCCCGGGGTCATGAATTTGAGCCCCACATTGTGGGTAGAGATTACTTAATAAAAAAAAAATTTTCTTAAAGGAAATCTTTTAGAAAAAAGCCTTCATTATCCATATATTGAAAGTTAAAGTGGGGACACCTGGGTGGTTCAGTCATTGAACATCTGCCTTTGGCTCAGGTCATGATCCCAGGATTCTGGGATCGAGTCCTGCATCAGGCTCCTGTAGGAGCCTGCTTCTCCCTCTGCCCATGTCTCTGCCTCTCTTTCTGTGTCTCTCATGAATAAATACGTAAAATCTTTTTTTTTTTTTTAAAGATTTTACGTATTTATTCATGACAGAAAGAGAGAGAGAGGCAGAGACACAGGCAGAGGGAGAAGCAGGCTCCACGCAGGGAGCCTGATGGACGTGATCCCGGGTCTCCAGGATCAGGCCCTGGGCTGAAGGCGGTGCTAAACCGCTGGGCCACTGGGGCTGCCCAATACATAAAATATTAAAAAAAAAAAAGTTAAACTGATTTAAAATGGAAATTATATTTTATGCATGTTATTTTGGAATTCATGAGAAGTTGGGTTCCCAGTAGCGCTTTCCTGCTTTTGTGGATATTGATACTCTCCAGCACCTTTTGATTTTGCCTATTCAAAATGTTTCTCCTTGTTGTGGCTATTTTACATAGCCCCTCCAGGGAGCATAATCATGGGCTGTGGCAGGTGGCTTCCCACCGTTCCTGGTTCTTGAGGCCTGACCATGCCCTGGAGGTAGTCCTGGGCTGTGGCCAGGTCTCAAACCCAGAAGGTGTCTGCTACTCTGAGCAATAGATTTAAATCCAAAGGGTTGAGGGGATGACCCAGACTCTGTCTCTGGTCATCTGCATAGCTTGTGGTTTCTTTTTCCAGAACTGATGGGAAGTGAGACTCACAACCTTGTTTCTGCCCTGGGGAGGGGGCTCCATCCCCTCCTCTGACCTTGTAGGCACCCAGCCGCCTCTCCCAAATGCATAGTCTGTGTGTGTTTTGTGTGTGTGGCAAGGATGGGTAGGAAGTGGGGCTGACACTGCATGGGCCAGTCCTGTGGTCTGGACTCACCTTCCTCTGGCATATTCAGGCCTGAAGCTGAGGACGAGGCTGGGTCTTGGGGCAGCCATGGTTACCTATGAGTGTCACACTGAAATCTGCCCTTTGCTTTCCTGCTGCGCGTAGGTTCTGACAGGGAGACAACAACAAATACAAGAAAAGCTTGAAGAAAACCGACGGGCACAAGAGGAGTCCCTGAGACACAGGGAACAGCTTATTCAAAATCTTGAGGAGGCAAGAGAGTCAGCTCGTCGTGAGAAAGAGAAGAGTGAGGAACTGAAATCGGCCAGGAAACAGGAGCTTGAGGCCCAGGTGGGCTCAGCCAGAGGGCAGGTGGGGGTGGGGGGAGGCAGCTTCGGCAAAGGCCACAGCAGGCCTTGCTATGGCCCTATCCCCCACCGAGGCACTGGAGGCCGAAACCCTTGACTTATTTCTGCAGCCTGTTACTAGGACCTTGTCTGAGAAACCCACATTTGTGAACTCAGTGCACCCTTTTTTCTTTCCAGCTGAAACCCTGACGCTCCTAATTAGCTCCAGCTCCACTCCAGGTCCCCCATCTCTATAGGAGCAAGGCTGTCATGCCTAGCCAGCATGTTTCTTTCCAATCTTGCATCTGCATGCCTTTGGTTCCCTGGACCACAGTTCCTATTTATTCAGTTTGGTACTTGATAGGGAGCACAAAATACTCTTCCAAGCACTTGGGCGCACCTGGGGCTTTTACACGCAGCCTTTCCAGTCTCATAAATGCCCTTACCTCTTCTGGCGCTTGCTGTCACTGTTCCTTAGCTGGGATTCTCCAGCCAGCGGAGATCCACAGGTTTTCCCTCCTGACCCGAGGCAGGGCTCTGCCCCCGGAAGCTTGGTCCTGGATGACTGTGCTCTTGGTGGCCAGGTTGCAGAGCGCCAGCTGCAGGCATGGGAGGAGGACCAGCAGCAGGAGGAAGAGGAAGAGGAAGCGAGGCAGGCAGAGCAGCTCACCGACACCCTGCTGCAGGAGGAGGCGAAGATGATGGCCGAGCGGGGCTACCGGCCCCAGGTAGGGAGTCTGCAGGTGACGGGCCCCTGCTGTCCCGTGCCTGTTCGTCACCCTCTGCACGGTGGGAGGTGAAGGAGCAGTGGTGCTAGGTCCTGGCTGTGTAGACAGTGGCATCCAGGTGACAGCAGCCTGGTTTCCCCCCCTCACAGCAACTCTGCGTGCCCCTTCCCTACTTGTCAATCTTCTCTTCTCCTTTCGTCCTTCCCTGTTTCTCAGAGTACTTGAGTGACCCCTGTGCAGGACCACACTGGGCACACAGAGAAGCAAAGGCTGTCACCCTGCTCCTAGGGAGCTGATAACTATAGCCCCTGGGGACTGAGGGATGGCCCAACAGGCACATCACCTCTGCTCCTCCTGCACCAGGGCCGCTCTGGCCACCCCGGTGCTCTAAAGTGCTGCAACAATGCAAGAGGCTGGCTCCTCTGTAGGCAGATATCTCTGGGAAGCCATTGAGGCAGGTGAAGCAGGTGTTATATGGGCTGCAGAACCGTTTTGTCCTGACTGGCTGGGGCCCTCGAGGTTCAGGGAACAGCATGTTCTCAACTCAGTGGACCATGGATCAGTGAGTGCCTTGGGACCAGGCTTTCACACAGTGAAATGTGGAAATGTCACTAAAAAAGGTAATACGGCCACCTGTGTGGCTCAGTTGGTTAAGCATCTGCCTTCAGTTCAGGTCATGATCTCAGGGAGCCACATGTCTGGCTCCCTGCTCAGCGGGGGGAGTCTGCTTCTCCCTCTCCTGCTCCCCCCACTTCTGCGCTCGCGCTTTCTCTCTGTCTCTCTCTCTTTCTCAAATAAATGAATAAAATCTTTTTAAAATAAAAAAGTTAATGAAGTGCTCAATTCTGGCTTAGGGTCAAAGTTTTATCACTGGTAAATGAAAACAGCCATTTCTAGTGCACTTTAGCTCTTATTTAGGTTGGGATTAGTCCCCAGTGCTCCAGACACTGCTGATCTGATCAGACTTGTATTTTCTTTCTTTCCTCAGCCCTACGGACATCCCAGAATTGCTTGGAACTGACTTCGTTGGTACCATAAGCACAGAGAGCAGGGACCCTGAGGCTTTTGATGCACAGGTGCCAGATGGTTGTACAGTGTTCTGTTTGAGTGTTTGGGTCACTGCAAAACAGTTCAGTGAGCCTGTTTGGGTCCATAGTTAAACGGAGCAAGGGCCACACCAGACTAAGGTGGTGTGGATAGGCAGCATCCAGCAGGAGGCTGTTTCCTGCCTTTTGTGTCCAAGGTGGGTCTCTTCTAGTCACACGACAGTGCTGTCGCCCAGTCCCATGATAGACTTAGAAAGTCAGACTCCGCATCCCAGCTAGGAGCTGTGGAGTGTGTCCTGTGACAGGATATATTTTTCCTGTTGCCTCATGCTAATCGTCAACCTCCAGTGAAGACTCCCGCTGGAGAGATGAAGGAAGTTTCTCAGTTTTTAAACTTGCCATTTAAATTTCACTGTTCTGTTGAGAACAAATTGGTAAGCCTTGGTGCACTTTATTTTAGAGTTTATCAATTTAGTGGTCCCAGAAGGATCACGTCTTGTTTTCTGGAAGAAAAAACTATGAACTCTGAGACAGGCTGATGTGCTCCATGAGTGCTTTCCGGAAAGGCAGCAAGAAATAGGTCTTTCCTCCTTCAGGAATCATTTGATAGAATTTCCATAGATCACCCTGTGTGAGGTGATCCCAACATGTATGACTAAATCCCAGAAGGGGGCCTCAAAAGGCCACCTGGGTGGCTAGCCTTTTGGCATGACACTTTTTTTTTTTTTTTTGGCATGACACTTTGGACCTCTTGTGTCTTGTGAAGGTCTCAGCGCCATGCAGCCTTCTGGGATGTGTGTGTCCTGAGCCTGAAGGAAGTACTCAGGATTGTACTCAACCAGATTGGCTAGAACTTGCTCTTCCCACTGTGACACAGTTCTAGATTAATCTCTGCAAGGAGTACAAGTTCCCTGCAGCAATAATCATATTTTTATGACTTGTATTTTTTTTTCCAGATTCTTCCTCTGAGACTTCAGTTTTCATTATATTGTATTTAAGGTTGCACATCTCAGTAAATTACAGCTAATTAAAGGGCTATGTGCCAGGTTATTAAAAACCAGAATTTATTAAAAAAAAGTCCAGAGTGTAATGGGCTGCATTGCCTTCCACATACATTGTGCACTATAAAAACAAATGGAGCAGCAAACTGTATCCTTAATCTGTTTTTCTTTTTTTTTGTCTTAAATTTCTTTGGATATGATCCCCTGAGCACCACTTCCATCACTTCCATTATGCTTGCTCCTATATGCTTCCCCGTTTCAAATGTTCATTTATTATGAAATAAAGTTCTAGTGTGAAGGGATTGCTTTCCAAGCTTTGTTACTTTTGCTTTTAGTAATTGTTGCAAAGTGGGCTGCATAGAATGAAAGATTTTTACTCTCCTACAGCTTTGTTTATTTCCTAGGACTGCTCACATTTTCTAGGTTATAGTCATTTTTCTTGTAGAAGTGCTGTTGTCTCCCCTCTAATTTTCACTGGATCGTCTTCTAAGTAAACCATAGGGAATTATTGGGAGTCATATACTGTCTGAGCTCCAGTATAGATTTGATGTGGACAAAATGTCTGGTAAATAGGCATGTAGATATTTACTGAATATTTCTTATTTCTTTCTATTTCTTGTTTTTGAGGCCTGCCAGTAATATTCCTTAATTGCATTAAAAGTCTATGTGATGCTGGTTCTCTAATTCATTTACATGTTTCCTCTCTAAACTTGGTCAGAATAATAGTTTGTAAGTTTAGAGCTTCCATTGCTTTACTGGTTCCAGTATAGCCCAGAGTCCTCTTCTCTCATTTATAGTTTGTACCATGATTATGTGTGTCTATTGGGTTTGTTGTTTTTAAGCATCTTTTTCTATTTCTTGTAAAATCAGTGAGTTTTGGATTATTCTTCACAGATTCTTCTATGAAGCTCAGTTCCCTTTAGAATAGATGGTGCTGGGCAGCCCGGGTGGCTCAGCGGTTTAGCGCTGCCTTCAGCCCAGGGGCCTGATCCTGGAGACCCAGGATAGAGTCCCACGTCGGGCTCCCTGCATGGAGCCTGCTTCTCCCTCTGCCTGTGTCTCTGCCTCTCTCTCTGTCTCATGAATAAATGAATAAAAATAAAATCTTAAAAAAACAAAACAAAACAAAAAACAGATGGTGCTGAAGCCACCACTAATAAGAAGTGATTATTATTTCCACTCTTTCTGCTCATTCAGCATATATTTTGAGTTAATTTTTGTGAAGGGTGTCAGGTCTGTGTCTGTATATATTTTCTTGGGCATGTAGATGTCCAGTTGTTCCAGCACCATTTGTTTAAAAGAATACTTGCCTCATCATATCATCTTGGCTCCTTTGTCAAATATCAGTTGACTGTATTTATGTCAGTGTATTTCTAGGCTCCTTAATCTGTTCCATTGACCTGTTTATTCTTTTGTCAGTACCACAAACTTCTGTAGTCAATTCCACTGTCCTGATTACTGTTGCTTTATTGTAAGTCTTGAAGATGAGTAGTTATCATTTGTTCTTTTCCTTTAGTATTGTACTGGCTCTTCTGGGTCTTTGCCTCTCCACATAAACTTCAGAATCAGTATGTTAATAACTACAAAATACCTTGCTGGAAATTTTTTTAAGCTTTTTTATTTTTAAGTAATTTCTGCACCCTTGTGCGACTCCAGCTTGTAACTCCAGGATCAAGAGTTGCGTGCTCCACTAAGCCAGGTGCCTCAGTTGCTGGGATTTTGACTAGGATTGCATCGAATCTATAGATCAAGTTGGAGGAACGGACATCTTAACAATCTTCCTGTCCACAAGGATGGAATTTTCTTTTTAAAGATTTATGTATTTATTCATGAGAGGCACAGACTGAGAGAGAGAGAGACAGAGACATAGGCAGAGGGAGAAGCAGTCTCCTCGCAGGGAGCCCGATGCAGGACTCGATCCTGGATCCCAGGATCACGACTTGAGGTGACAGCAGGTGTCCAACTGCTGAGCCACTCAGGCATCCCACATGGGATATTTCTTTTTCTTTTTTTTTTTTTTAAGATTTTATTTATTTATTCATGAGAGATACAGAGAGAGAGGCAGAGACACAGGCGGAAGGAGAAGCAGCAGGTCCTCGAGGGGAACCTGATGTGGGACTTGATCCCAGGGTTCCCGGCTCACACCCTGAGCCAAAGGCAGATGCTCAACCACTGAGCCACCCAGGCGTCCCACATGGAATATTTCTTTCTAAAATTTCATCATCAGAATTTTGTACCTCCCGTAGCTCTTGTACTTTCTTTTTTTTTTTTTTTTTTTTTTTTTTTTAAGATTTATACCTATAGTATTTCTTTCTTTCTTTCTTTTTTTTTTTTTTTTGGTGCTAATGTAAATGGTACTGTTTTTAATTTCAAATTCCACCTCTTCATTGCTAGTATATAGAAAAATGACAACACTTTTTTTTTTAATTTTTATTTATTTATGATAGTCACAGAGAGAGAGAGAGAGAGGCAGAGACACAGGCAGAGGGAGAAGCAGGTTCCACGCACCGGGAGCCCGACATGGGATTCGATCCGGGGTCCCCAGGATCGCGCCCTGGGCCAAAGGCAGGCGCCAAACCGCTGCGCCACCCAGGGATCCCTAACACTAATTTTCTAACCTATAACCTTGCTATAATTGCTTATTGGTTTCAGGAGTTTTTTTTTTTTGGTTAATTCTTTCAGATTTTCTACATAGAGATGATTAAGTCATTTGTGAACAAAGAGAATTTTTATTTCTTCCTTCCCGATCTATATCTTTTACTTCCTTTTCTTAACTGCATTAGCTAGAACTTCTGTGTTCTAGAAAGGAGTGGTGAGAGGGGACATCTTTGCCTTGGACCTGACCTTAGTGGTAAAGCTTTGAGTTCCTCACCATTAGGTATGATGTTAACTGTAGGTTTTTGCGGATTTTTTTTTTTTTTAAATCAAGTTGAAGTTCCCCTCTCTTCCTAGTTCACTAAGAGTTTTTATTATGAATGGGTGTTGGATTTTTTTTTGCATGTTTTTTCTGCATCTATTGATGTAATGTGATTTTTCTTTTTTAGATTGTTGATGTGATGGATTACATTAATTGATTTTTGAATGTTGAACCAGCCTTGCATACCCAGGATAAATCCCACCTGGTTGTGGTATATAATTCCTTTTATACACTAATGGATTCATTCAATTTGCTAATATTTTGCTGAGGATTTTTGCATTTATGTTCATAAGAGAGATTGATTTATAGTTTTTTCCTGTGGTAATGTCTTTGCCTACATTTGGTTTTAGGGTAGTGCTGGTCTCACAGAATGGGTTGGGAAGTATTCCTTCTGCATCTATCTTCTGAAAAAAGACTAGAGAGAATTGGTATACTTTCTTCCGTAAACATTTGGTAGAACTCACCAGTGAATCCATCTGGGCCAGCCTGGTACTTTATTATTTTTGGAACGTTATTAATTATTGATTGAATTTTATAAGTTGATGTAGGCCTGTGTAGATTGTTTCTTCTTGTGTGACTTTTGACAGGTTATGTCTTTCAAGGAACTGGTCCATTTCCTCTAGGTTATCAATTTGTGGGTGTGGAGTTGGTCAATAATATTCCTTTATGGTCCTTTTGATTTTGATGTCCATGGGACCTGTAGTGATTTTTCCTCTTCAATTTTGATATTATGATTTGTATCTTCTCCTTTTATCTTGGTCTAGAGGCTTATTGATTTTACTGATTTTTTTTTTTAAGATTTTATTTATTTATTCAAGAGACACACACAGAGAGGCAGAGACAGAGGCAGAGGGAGAAGCAGACTCCACGCAGGAAGCCTGATATGGGACTCGATCCCAGATTTTGGGATCACGACCTGAACCAAAGGCAGAGGCTCAACCACTGAGCCACGGAATCCCTTTATTGATCTTTGTAAAGAACTTTTGGTTTTGTTGATTTTTCTCTACTGATTGCTTGTTTTCTAATTCTACACTAGTTACATATACATTACATAATAGACTTACAGTTAACTTATTTTTTGCTCCCTCTGGGTTGCCAATACAAATGCGGTTCTTTGGGCATTTTTGCAGTCATTCTGGACTTTGCCAGTTCTAATCCAAGGAGTGCCAGTTTGTAGGTTTAGGCTTCTTGTTACCACATAGGCCTTCCTACATCATGTGAGCCAGACCTTTGGCTTCTAGCGCCATCTCCACATCAGTACGTCCTGGATCTGTATCTCTAGTCCGGACTCCTACATCCACCAACCCTATGATATCCCTACTTTGATATGCATCTCAAAGGCACCTCCAACTCAGCACAAAACTATCAAATGATCTCTCCTACTAAACTCCTGTCATTAACCAAACAATAGCAACAACTTGGCACTTCTCCAGTGTTTTCAGATAAAGTACACAGCACCACCATCCATTCTGCCAGCTGTAGGAATCATAAGCCTAGGAGCACTGAGTCCTGCTACTTTGACCTCTAGCAACCTCCAAGTCCATTTGCTTTGTTCCCTCTGCCCAGGTCTTTCATGGCTACCATCCATCCACCTCACCTTCTTCGTCCTGCAGTCAGCGATCTTTTACAAATACCTGAAATGAAAATCTCCCACCTTCTTCAGGTTCCTCTGCATTTAGACCAAGACTCAAATGCTTCCATGGCCTACCAGGGTCCCTCCCTGAATGTGCTGTGCTGCCTCCTGGCCTAGGAAATAATCAGATTGGGACAAAGGTGTTTCTCACAGCATTAGTTACAATATCAGAAACTGATAACCTGGATGTCAAACACCAGGAGGCTCTTTGAATTTGGGATGTTATGCAGTACATTAAAAGGAAAATGGAATACTGTTGTTTTTTTTTTTTTTTTTTTAAGAAATATTCATGCTGTTAAATTAAGCTGTCCAAAAGTGGCATGCCTGGCTGGCTTAGAACATGTAACTCTTGATCTTGAGGTCATGAGTTTGAACCCCATGTTGGGCTAGAGATTACTTTAAATTTTTTTTTAATATTTTAAAAAAATTATGTGTTTATTCATAAGAGACAGAGAGAGAGAGGGGGGGGGCAGAGACACAGGCAGAGGGAGAAGCAGGCTCCATGCAGGGAGCCTGATGTGGAACTCTATCCCAGGACTCCAGGATCATGCCCTGGGCCAAAGGCAGGCACTAAATCGCTGAGCAACCTAGGGATCCCTAAAAATGTTTTAAATAAAATTCAAAAGCAATATTTGTATAATTCTCCTCTTAAGAAACATAACACTCCGTTGGGATTTCTAAAAGTTGGGATAATCGGGACGCCTGGGTGGCAGAGCAGTTGAATGTCTGCCTTTGGCTCAGGGCATGATCCTAGAGTCCCAGGATCGAGTCCTGCATCAGGCTCCCTGCATGGACCCTGCTTCTCCCTCTGTCGTGTCTCTGCCTCTCTCTCTCTCTCTGTCTGGGTCTCTCATGAATAAATAAATAAAAGTCTTAAAAATAAAATAAAAGTTGGGATAATCATTTTCATTTTGGGTGCTTTTCTGTATTTCACACAGAGAACATAACCTCTGAAACAAAGGGAAAAATTTTTTTTTTAAATGAAAAGGGCAAATGCTAGAAATAATTAACAAAACAACCTAACAGGGATCCCTGGGTGGCGCAGCGGTTTGGCGCCTGCCTTTGGCCCAGGGCGCGATCCTGGAGACCCGGGATCGAATCCCACATCGGGCTTCCGGTGCATGGAGCCTGCTTCTCCCTCTGCCTGTGTCTCTGCCTCTCTCTCTCTCTGTGACTATCATAAATAAATAAAAACTAAAAAAAAAAATAAAACAACCTAACAAAACTAAACAACTTTGCCTCTGTCCCTTAAAGAGATATTTCCTACCTTCTGGCAGACAAAATTAAGGACTCTTCCCCAAATATGGATGTGGGAGGTTTCTGGTGAGGGCATAGTCCTACAATGGCTTCTGGGGCCCATCTCAAGGCCCCTGGTCTGTCAACAATTTGGATGGGTATTACAAAAAAAGGCAGTGTCAGGAGGTCACGTGCTGATTCCATTTGTATAACATTCTTGAAAGTACAGCATTACAGAACAGGAGAACAGAGTCATTGTCAGGGCACAGGTGTGACTCTTAAGGGGTGGCATAAGGGAGATGACTGTGGTGATGTGGAAGGTCTGTCTCTGTTGCGGTGTGATGCGGTATGATGGGAATGCGAATCAACATGTGGATAAGACAGCATAGAACTATACACGTGCATATAAAGTGACATCTGAACAAGGTCTGTGATTGTGCCAGTATCAGCGTCCTGATCATGATATTGTACTATAGTTTGTTAGAAGTTATCATTGGGGGAACTGAGCAAAGGGCACAGGGGACCTCTACTCTTTTTGCATCTATTTTGTGAATCTGTGATTATTTCAAAATAAAACAATGGTCCAGTATAGGGGAGGTTTCTTAAGACACAAGGAAAAGATTGATAAATTTTACATTTAAAAAGCTTATTTCAGGGACACCTGGTGGCTCAGGGGTTGAGTGTATGCCTTTGGCTCAGGGCGTGATCCCAGGGCCCTGGGATCTAGTTCCACATCGGGCTCCCTGCAGGGAGCCTGTTTCTCCCTCTACCTTTGTCTCTGCCTCTCTCTGTGTCTCTCATGAATGACAAAGTTTTTTTAAAGATTTATTTTTAAGCAATCTCTATACCCAAAGAGGGGCTCAAATTCACAACCCCCAGATCAGGAGTCCCCTGCTCCACTGACTGAGCCAGCCAGGTACTCCGGGATCAACAAAATGAACACAGCTGTTAAACCACTGTTCATGAAGATGCAGAACAATAGGAAGTTTCACAGTGTGCTGGTAAACACTTTGGAAAAAGGGATAAAAACAGTGTTACAGGTTTGGAGGTGCACATTCTTTTTGACCCAGGAGGCTCCACACCATCCAGGTCTGTATATATCCCCTAGTCTTACATGCACTGAAAGAAACTTTCAAAGCAGTTTTTTAAGAGCCAACAACTAAAAATAGCTGAAACATCCATCAATAAAGTACTAGATAACGAATGGTGTATACGTTGCATGAATGCTATGCCACAAGGAAAATCGAAGCAGAGGCATGCATGTTGTCCTAGTTGCCTCAGAATGTTGAGAGAAGAGAATCCAACAGTAGGGCTCATTTACACGCTCAAAAGCTAGGAAGCAGTGAGCACTGAAGTCTAGGGGATGTGGGGTCTATGGGGGCTCCTGGGGGAAAGGCAGTGTTCTGTTTCTTGCCTGGGTTGTGGCTACACAGGTGGTCACTCTAGAATTCTACGTGGACGTGGTAGACACTATTTCTATATTTAGGGATCACATGGGAGGTGAGTGCCCACGCAACATAGGTTCTCTCTCTGCCGCTCCCCTGAGTAGAGGCCTGGTGACCCCTCTGTGAGCCCAGTTCTTCACCTGTGAAATGTGGACGAGGGCGATGTGGGGATGCGGAAAGGTAAATACAGAAAGCAGGAAGCCCAAATGGACCTGTTTTCCTGACAAGAAGGGGCCTCCCTGCCCCCAGGAAACAACCTGCCTACAGGGGAAAGCACCCTTGTCTCTGTTGTTGGACTTGGGCAGGATTTCATCTTGTTTTATTTGGCAGAAGCAGGCCAGACTCCGGCTTCCACCCTCAGTGGGGAGCTCTCCCCTTCCCCCCTGCGCTGGGTGGGCCCTGGAGCCCTGCTTCTAGCGGCAGGTCCAGGGCTGCTCCTTCCAGAAGGGCTGATGGGGTGTGTCACTGTGCCATGTGCAATCTGTGAGGTCTCAACTGATCACTGAGTCACTGAAACCTGTGAAATGGGCAGCGTCCTCCACTCACGGATCAGCCTTGAGCAGCAGTTACCAAGCGTCTCAATTTGAAACAGACCAAAAAGATTGGAAATATTTGTGGCAAAAGTGAGGAATGGGAAGACTGAACACGTGTGGCCACCCAGACCCCATTCCTCCAAGCCTGACGGGCAGGAAGGGGACCACACAGACACCAGCTTTGGCCTTCCTGCTCTGCCACTCCCAGGCAGGAGGAATGGTAGGAGAGTGGGGCCACCCAGCCAGCTCCACATCTCCCTCCCACCTTAGCTCTCCGGAGCCTCAGTTTCCTCTTCTGCAAGATGGGTTGTTCCTCCTTTATGAAGTGGTGCCCAGCATGGTGGCCACATGCAGTATGTGCTAATAATCACTCAGCCCCTGCATTCAGGAAGGAATAACGGGGGTATGGGGGGGAAGTGTGGAAAGGGCTGGAAGAGGGAAGCAGATGGCAAGTGTGGTGCAAGGGGACACTCAGGCCCACCTTAGATCCAGGGGCAGAGTGGGGGTCCAAGTGAAACATCAAAACCTCCCTGTCTGTAAAGTGTTACAGGCCCATGAGCCAGATGGGGCTTGCAGGCCTCAGTCCCCGGGAAAGGCCATGGCTGGGGGTGGGGTTATGAGGGGGTTGGGTGCAGAGCTGGGAGAGGGGAGGGCAGGACACAGGGGTCCTGCTACAAGAATTGGGGAGGGGGTGCTGAGAGGGAAGAGAAAGGAAAGAGGAGTCCTCTAAGAGGGGAAGGGCTGAGAAGATGGATTTTTGGAGGAGAGGCGGGTCCTTGGAGAGAAGGTGCATTTGGGGGAAATTGGGGCAGAGGTGTTCCCATCTCTGGGGCCTGAAAAGGGAGCACAGTCCAGAAGCTGCGTGGCAAGAGCCGGGGAGGCGGGGGGAGATGGGGTGAGGCAGGAAGGAGCAAAGTTCCCACAGGCCTCCCCTTGTCCCCAGCAGCCCCTCCCCCAGGGACCTGCTCCACAGTGAGCTGACCAAGCCCCTGGAAAGCAGTGAGCGAGCCTGTCCTACTGCAGCGCATGCCTGAGAAAGCGCTGCTCACAGTCCTTGGGAGCCAGAGGACAGTTCTTCCGGGAGTCATTTGGGAACCGGTGGAGGAGTCTAGGCACCCAGGGCTCAAGCATGAGACAGCCCTGCTTGGCGGCCCCGTGTGAGGGGTCATACGCCAACAGCGCCCCCACTTATCCACACAGTCTCACATCATGCCTGGGCCCCCCCTGATGTCTGGTCTAGACCGTCAAGGACCATGACCGCCCCCTGGTTGCACCTCCAAAGAGGCTGCATTCTTGGAGACTCTGCAGTCCTGGCCTGCCAGGGGCAGGAAAACCCAACCGGGCGGATTAAGGGGAAGACGGACAGGACTGCTGGTAACTCACATGCCCCTCCTCCGTGTAGCTCCTTGGGGCAGTCTTCCTCATCCCCGCGGTGGAGCAGCGCCTGCTGCACAGGGATGCGGCGAGGATCGAAAGAGTTAATACCCGGACAGACCCTAGCACAGTGCCTATGGAGTCAAGAGTTGATACGAGTTAACTGTAATTATAATTATGAAAACATGTTGAAAAGCAGCAGGCGAGTTGGTGGAGGGGACCACAGTTGGTCTACAGCAGAGCTTCTCGAGTGTGGGCAGTGAATTCCAGGAGCCCGGCTGTGGTAGGAGTGGGAGGCTGTGTTCCAGAGAGCGTTCCTGGGGCTGTGATGCGGGGGCTGGTGAGCACCCCTAGCCTAGGAGAGACCTCCAGGTGTGAGCTGATGGGTCCAGGGCCTCAGGCAAGCTGGCTCACACAGGGAGGACGCTCCATTTCCGCCAGCCTTGTGATAGGCCCTGCTCCTTCTGTTTGAGAGAAGAGCCCCAAGTCACCTCCCTAGAGGACAACTGTTGGAGACTGAGGGTGGCCCTGATGAACCCAGGTATACCCCACCGTCCCTGTGGGAACCTGCACAATGGGCCTTGCTCTGAGACTCTGATAGAGGAGACAAGGGGACCGTGCCCAGCTGGCTTTTGCTGAATTTGAACAATTAAACTTCAGAAGTGAACACACAATAAGATCAGTGGAGCGGACATCTTGATGTAGAATTTCTTTTAAGAAAGCTAATCAGCAGGAGGAGGAAAAAAGGTCCTCATTCCTATAAACTGAGAAGAGCCGCTGGGGAGAGGGGGGACGACGACATATTCAATACTCTCTTATTAAAGATTACCTTATGGGAGGGGACCTTTCTTGAAGCTTTGACAGAGAATCTGGAAATATCACCTAATTGACAAGAAACACAGAATTAACTACAAAGATACTATAGAGCCTGTTTATTGCATAACTAGCAGGCACAAATTCCAAAACGATTTTACAACGCTTACAGGGTTGTACAATAATTACAGGAATAGAATGTACAATACACAGAAGTACAGAATAATGGGTGACGTGGATAAAAAACATTTGAACGAAAGGCATTTCATTTTTCCTATGCAGCATTTTCTTTTGTAAAAACAAGGGTGCTGACTTGGGACAAGAAGGAACATTCTATGACTGGAGAGCTCACAGCTGCTGTGGATAGACACACGCTAGTCTCCCTCTTGGTTCTGCAGCTTCAATCACTGGAGGAATGGGGTAACAGCTCCTGAGGTGTGTGTCTATGGTTCCAATCGTATGAAATGATGTGTTTGATCTTTGGGCCCGATTCCCTTTTCTTTGGCAAATAAGCACTATTTGCGTTCTGAGGCAGAGGAGGTCTTCAGCTAACGGAGCTGCAAGGCAGAGCTGTCTCCTTCGGCAAGTGTCAGTTTCATAAAGTGCACATCTGTCCTATCAGCTTGTGTGTGTGTGGGCAGGGGGGAGATTTGAGAACTAAGAGTAAAAAAGGACGCTAGAGAGCGCGAGCATTAGTGCAAAGGCTATGGAACACATGTGCAAAGGTAGTGAATGGCCACTGAGACAAGGTGCGATTTGCCAACAGGACTGGGTCTTGGAAGAGACTAAGGAAATGTGCAGGGCACTGCAGGGAGGCGTGTCACTCCACCCAGAACTTTTCTGCAGCGCCGGCACTGTGGGTTCACAGAGCAAACATCTGTGGTACTCTTATAACCGGAGATGCTCTCTGGTCCCCACTCCTTGACATTCTCTAGGGGCACAGAGGCAAGGTCCTCCATCACCCACCCTCGAGTGTTCCAATAAAGATACCGCTACACGCTGTCCCCTGCACCACCATCACCCCCTCACCTCCCAGCAGACGACTCATTACTTAGAAGCCTGTCTTCCCTGGGAGGCTGAGGCACCAACTCAGGATGCCCACTGGGCTTTTCCCAAGGCCCCCACATGGGCCCAACACGAGGGCAGGTGTTTGCAAGAAAGAGGGACAGCTAAGTATGTGCAGCATGCAGGAAAGGCTACCAGATGGGGCTTAAACTTAATTTAAGGTAGAAGGCATCCCCTCGGCATCCAACAGGAACGTGGCACTTAGGATTGTGCAGACAAGCGGATGAGTCTTTTGGAGACGTGGACCCTTTCCCTATGCTACTCAGCGTAGCAAAATCTGGCAAAAGCATCCACACAGCAGGACTTAGTAAACCAAACACCATCAGAGTGCTTCCTTCACGACAGCATCCGGTCAAGCTATAGGGATGTTTTGTGAGTCAAACAGTTCTGTGAAAATACAGGCTTATTTAGCATGTATTCAGGCAACTGTGATTACTTTGACTTCTTCACGTGTATGAATGAGCACTAAGGGACAGAATATATGGGTCAGATGAGGACTACCAGCAACTTAACACAGGGTAGGGTTAACTTCACCCACATGTGTGCTACGAGAATGTTTCATCACCAACGTTTATAACAGAGAAATGGCACAAAAAAATCCGTATTTCTGGGGTCTCTTAAAAAAAAAAAAGCTCTGCCAATCCCGGGCCCACTTTTCCACAGGGTAGCCTGAGTGGGGCTGGGAGGCCACTGTCTCTACCGGGCAGGTCACTGTTCCCCCAATGGCCCACTTCATTCATCTCCATCAGTGCTGCCTGGCCCCTCGGGTCTCGGTCAGTGTCTGAGCCAGTCACAAAACTGTTGCAAGAACCGGGGACAGGAATATGCTGTAGCCTTCAGAACAAGAACGTTTTAGTTTAAAAACCAATGTCAGTATGTTCCAGAACTTAAACCTATACTTTCGTAGCTTTGGGATAGCTGGACGTCAGCTAGAGCACACTCTGAGGAATTTGTGAAAGATGAGGTCTAATTTCTAAGTACCAGCGAGGTAATGGAGGAGAAAAAAACTCAGATGATTGTGTAAACCTTACCTTATAAGACGTCCTTAAAGGTGATGAGATGTGCCAAATAGGCTGTGTGAGGAAGCTTTAAGTGGTTAGAGTACAGAGTTCTGGGAAAGAGATACATTACCATGTCAGGAAGGAGAGGACTTCTCTTCCCACGGTTTACGGCAGTGATATCTGAATGGGGTGGCACAAAATTAGCTATGGCTTGTGGGACGTGGCTCCTCTTTGCCACGTTTGGAATGACACATCTGGTTTCCTGTGGGAAGGCAGAGCGCTGAGCCACGTGTGACAATGTGGCAGCACTCCTACCTGGACAGGGCCAAATGACACGTGACATGGGGGATGAGTGCTTATCTGGCATCACAGAGACCTTAGGATGATAATAAAATAGAGACAGAAGATCCAGACAGAAACATCAAATATAAAAACATCTAACAGAATAGTTAAAAGAAATGGGACAGTACATTGTTTCCTTCCAAAAGAGACTGTTATACTACTTTTAGAGAGGGCAAAAGTCCTTTTTCTACATCCATGTTTGGAGACACCCCAAACTTACAGATTCTCGCACTAGGGCTGGAAAATTACTGCACAATGTTTTGTAGGGAAGAGATGAGGTGGATTTTTTTTTTTTTAACCCAACTCTCTCCAGAAAATGTTTCACTAAAAATCTCATTTATAGTTTTAACCCTAGACAGGCAGTTTTAAAGGGATGGAAAAGTTCTAACAAACTTGAAACAATGAAACTATGCTTTTGGATGACTATGACCATCAACTCAACAACAATCACTGGCAGCACAATAGAACATCAGAGAGGAAACTGGCAAACAGTCACAAAATAAGGCAAGTGGGTTAAATTAATAGTCAAAAATTTGTTAGAAAACATGCAAAAATAATACTGAGTTTTTAAAAAAGTTTTAAACTTTCATTAAATGTTTCTGTAAAAACTGGCAGGATTCCACGTCTCAATTTGCAAGTGGACTTTAAAAAGCCTAGAAAATACAAGGCCGGCACTGGGCTCTTCAGTTGTTGTTCTCTTTGGTGGTGATGGTGACCAGCTGCTTGGCGGCCTTGGCAATGTCATATGCACACTGGATGACCTGCTGTGTGACCAGCTGGATGTCCGTGGGCGGGCCGGGGTCCCCGGGAAGGGTCTTCTTGCACTCTGACTGGAGTCGGTAGGCACTGGATGTCAGCAGGCGCAGGGAAGTCCTCACCGTGTCAGACTTGGGTTTCTGAACAGAAGAACACAGTCGCCTGCCATGAGCTGCACAGTGGACACCCATTCTTGCAAGGACAGCTCGAGCTGTTCGTCATGCACTTTCTCAGTGGCGGTGCTGGGGACATGGCAAGCTGTGTGGCCCACAGTGTCAGAGATGCCCAAGTGCTCGGACTCAAAGGTCAAAGTGTATGCAGTGTCATTTTAGTAAGACAACCTATTCTTAGGTGGTTTTTGAAAAACCTACCCGGGTGATATATTCCAGATACAACTTTAATCTATGAATGCTTTGCCTTTTAGCACTGGGTTCAGACATTCCTATTTATTAAAACCAATATTCATAGGGTACCTGTGTGGCTCAGTCAGTTAAGCGTCTGACTCTTGGTTTCAGCTCAGGGCACAGCCTCATGGGTTCTGGGACCAAGCCCCAAGTCAGGCTCCATGCTCAGCGAGGAGTCTGTTTGAGATTCTCTCCCTCTGCCCCACCTCCCACTCACACACACATGCGCATGCATACACTCTTTCTCAAACAAATCTTTAAAAAAACAAAAAAAACCCACCAATATTCAAGTAGGACAAAATGATTTCCATGTCCTCTATGACTGATTGCATACTTAAAACTCGTGCTATGGAAAGGTTAACATAACATCACGGGTTCTAAAAAAATTTCCTTCAGTTCATTTAAAAGGATCTGAACCAAGTAAGTAGGAAGTGACTTACTTTGGGGAATAATGCTGCCATTTCGGTAACAGCTACATGTATCCTTTCTGAGCAGGGGATATAGCTGCAAGAATATTAAAGAGGTTATTGAAAGACAGCAAAAGTACAAAGTACTTCAGAGATGAAGAGTACTCAGGGTCAGAATGTGCTTCATTCATATTTCCCCAAGGAAGGGGCTGAGGCTGCCGCCAGCCAACTGCAGAAACCATGCCAACATGAGCAGGGTTCCCATCCCTTCCAGAAAGTTCATTCAATCTGCTATAAACAGCTCCAGGTAGCCAACACACAGACTACCCAGGGAAAGGTACAGATGGCCCGTCTATGATGCTTGTCACACCTCTTACAGTGGGTCATTTGGTTCTTACGTGCTTCATCTTTTTCATTTCTTCAGAGAGAAACAAGGATTTCCATGCAAAGGCCACAGAACTTAAAAATAAAGGACTGAAAAAAAATCCTTAGAATTAGAATTAGAGCTTATACCTCAACACCCACATGTTGGTTAAAACTAATAAACACCTCTAAAATCCATCTATTCAAAAGCATCTCAACTGTTGGAGAATTGAAACCTTTACTTTGGGTAAACAGAAAACACTGAGATGTACTCTTGAACTTGATCAGACACTTACCCGCTTTCTCATGAAGCTGCCATGACTTTGCTTGTAATAAAGGGCTATGAGCATAGCCAGCGCTTTCTCGGCTCGCTTGATGAGCTCTAAAAAGACCGAGCACATTGACTCTGCCTGTCTTCATCCTTTCCTCCAGGCCACCTGGCCTCCTAAGGGTCCCCTAGATGACAGTCAAGAGCTGAGGCTTTATGAGCACTGACAGAGTGCCAGCTCTGTTCCCATTTTTCAAAAGAGGAAACGGAGGCCAGGAGAAGCAGAGAACATGTCCAAGGTCCCACAGATGGTTGAGAGAAAGCTGAGCACAAACTTGGCCAGCTAGCCCCTGAGCCTGGGCCCCTCACCACCACACCAAAGGCCTCTCCTGCTATCAGAGACACAACAGAGTCATGCCTTTCTTTAGAGCAGGCTTCTTTCCATTCATGACTGGTGACTCTGACTTCTTAGGTGATGAGAAGTACAGGAATGGAGACTTAGGCTTCACTTAGGCTTCTTAGTCTTGGCATTGTGGTGTGTAGCATATGGGGCTGGTTTCTTTCACCTTCAAAATAGGCTTCCACCCTGGGTAGTACATGTTATCAAGATGGGATTGAATGACAGTTCTTAGCTAGTGTGCTGCCACCAGGTCTGGGTTCTGGTTCTGGAACAAATGACCCACAGAGCCCAGGAGGGATGGGATAGGAGAAAAGCTCATTAGCAGTCTGTTTGCGGCGTGCTAAGAAATACGATGTGAATATGTGGGTGTGGCCTTCCACAATCACCAACGTGGCTGTGTTTTAAAATTTCCAAGACAGGGAATGAAATCCCGTTCAGTACCAGCCTAAGCCCTTAAAGTCCTCGAATTAAAGTTGGCTTCTGCTTAAAGACTGTCCCAATAAGTAACCTCTACTTCACCTTTGTATGAAATCTAGTCTCAAAACTATTTTAATTAAGACTACATTTTAGTTACATTATTACATTTCAAGGAACTGGTTTATATTATCCTAAAATACCTTCGAACAGGCAATCCTGACTTTTACCTTTGTGAGCAAGTAGAACCTTAATCCACAGAGTAACAAAAAAGCCAAGGCAGAAGGAGTCCCTTCACTAGTATATGAACTGGCAACAACCCATCTGGTCACACACACACTCAGGGAAAAAAGGCTGCGTCTACAGCAACCACTGTCTCAGCCATAAATCTTGCGTGAACCAGTATGTCTTTTAATAACACATTAACAGAGAATCAACCTGAGAATTTTTTACTTAGAATTTTCATTTTGACCCAGAAATGTAATTCAACCTTCTCCCTGCTACACAGAGGCAAATTTTCCTACGGACACCTCCCAAAAACTCACTCAGTACAAAACAGTTTAGGAAGTCCTCAATGAGACACAAAAGAAAGCACATACAGATTAATGAGAAAGTTGACCTCCTCTTGCTCGGGGAGTTCATGTCCACAACTTTAAGCTGTTATATTTCCTCAAAAAAGGCTTCTGTACATAGTACGTAGTACTCCTGAGTTGTGTAATCATGCATGCGTGTGTACAAGAGAGAGACAGAGATAGGCAGGGAATGGGGCTGGAGGTCCAGGGGAGAGACCAGGTTGAGGGAAGGTCAGGGGCTGTGGGCAGCTTGCCTGGCTCAAGGGACCAGGGCGCAACCTGAATGCATCTGTGTGAGCTGCTGGTCTACTTAGGATGAGCATAAGCGACAGATGAACAGGCGGGGAAAACAAGAGGAAAAAGCATGGGTTTAATCAGTATAATGCAAAGTTCTAAATGAAAGTGTCTTGCATTTGTAAGTAACCACAGAAATTAACAGAATGTTGATCAGTTTATAAAATATAAATTCTCTAGATCAATTCTGATTTAAACTAAAAGAGTGAACTAATGATTAAACTCTGCATCATTCTCTCATGGTATTTTATTTACTTATTTTTTTTCCTTTCCTGGTATTTAAAAAAAAATCAGATCAGAATGTTTTTTGAATGGATTTGCACATCTTAAAAAAAAAAAAAAAAAAAAAAAAGGAAAAACCAGCACCGTATTATGGTCTTTGAGGCCAGAAATGGCCTCCAGGCAGATCTTTCTGACGGCCGCCAAAGAGAACAATGCAACGTAAACGTATCTTTGTTTGAAATACAAGCATGGCACTTCTGAACTGGAGTAAGCAAAACCCAAAGCCTGTCATCGACTGGCGGGAGAGCCCTGCGCGCGGGCGGGGGGGGGGGGTTCATCTTGGTACTGGGAGTTGTTTAAAGACTGCCCTTCGGAATGCTGTGACACATCTTGCTTTATGCAGTGAGCTCATGAAGGCGCTTGCTGCCAAGCACCTGCAGCCTGTGAGGCTTTGTGGGGAGGGGGGTGGGGGGGCGGGGACAGAGAGGCTGCCTGGGAAGGAGGGGGAGATGAATAGCCACGTAATTCTCATGGAAGGAGGCTGACCAATAGCCTTCCTTTTTTCCTCTGAGGATCCTCCAGCATCTCTCCTGCTCCCCTAGACACTGTCCACTCCTCTCCCACTAAGGGGAAGCAGGGACACTGGGGGAAGTCAGAGCTGTATGGACAAAAGGCAAGGAGAGAAGGGGAATCTAGCCTGGTGGTGCTGAGGACACAGAGAAGGCAGAAGATGCTGGTGCAGCTTTGTGAGGAATAAGAGAACAGGGAGGGCCACGGAGGAGCGGTATAGCGTTCCTTGAACAAGTTCTGTTAGTGCACTGCATGCGAAGGAGCTCCTCACTGGAGCACCATGCTCTGCTGACCCACGGGCAACAATGAGATCGGGCAACAATGAGATCGTTCTGGGGTTTTGACTGACCTCTGCTGCTTTCATAAACTCAGCGGGTAGGGGTCACATAGTTCATGAGTATCTGCATGGGGTTAGCCACATGAACCCAGGCAGCCCCCCAGAACAGTTAACAACTCACCAGAAGTTCTCAGGGAACAAAAGGATGAACTAGAATAAGAGCTAGTCCCTTCTTCACTGTAAGAAAGAACTCTACAGGATGTGGTTCTGCTCAGAGGAAGAAGACTCTTATTTCAGGAGCATAGAATTATTTGGGTGTCGAGTAGACCAACTTTTATTTGTAAACCACTTTGTTTTCTAGATGTTTACACATGCGTGCGCACACACACACATATACCTGCATGCCAGGCACACCTAAGAAATCAAATGTCAGGACACCTTTTATGTCAGTGAACTCTGCTCTAGCTAGGGAAACCACAGGGAGCACAAGGGCTGGATGAGTCAACTCTGAGCTCTAAGGTAGCTTCCTTCTTTCCTCTTGCCATCCAGCACCAGCAATATTACTAACCCTAAATATACTGCAATTCTATTTCTAGAAGCATCAGTTTCCAGAGCAGTTCATAAGAACATGGAAAATGCCATGTAAGGAAAAAAAAAAACAAAACAAACCCAAACAAGGGCAGCCCTGGTGGCGCAGCGGTTTAGCGCCGCCTGCAGCCCAGGGCATGATCCTGGAGACCCTGGATCCAGTCCCACATCAGGCTCTCTGTATGATGCCTGCTTCTCCCTCTGCCTGTGTCTCTGCCTTTCTCTCTCTCTGACTCTATGAATAAATAAGTAAAATCTTAAAAAAAAAAACCCCAAACAAAACAAATAAAAAAAAAAAACCCCTGAAATTTACAAATTTGTTCTTAGGCCTGTTATGCAAACCTGAAAACAAAACAAAACAACACAAAACAAAAAAAACACAAAAACTTAAAAAAATAAGCATACTGAAAAAAATCCTTGTTTAGAACTGAGCAACATCTCTTCCACAGCAGGTATATTTTTCCAGGCAGGATTTTCAAACCCCCTTACCTGTCATGTTTATTTTCTTGAGCGGCTCTTAAGAGCTCCTGTATGTTTTTGGTGATCTGTTCAGTTTTCCGGATGACGTCTTCCGTGCTGGGGAGGATGGGGCTGGGGGCTGTGTGGGGTTCCACTATGTCTGGTACTGAGCCATCGCCTTGCCACACCATACTCCTCTGCCTTCCCTTTCTGCTTGACCTGTGACCATCAAAGAAGTGGCTAAATGTGACAAGTGCTCATTAGCTGCTTCTCTGCTTCTAGGAGCTAGTGCATGTGTATTTGCTGAGTGCCTGAGCTGGCTGCTTCTGTGGTTTCCTTTATCCTCTCTGGCAGGAGACTCACAGTGAGGCTGTTTCCTCAACAGACAGCCACAGCTCACATGGTGGCTGCTTCATGCTACCATAGGGCTGGAAATTATGACTCTTGGAGAAAGAGTAAAGACGCGGAAAGGGAGCAGACAAGTGGAACAGCAAGGATGTGTTGTTATAAAGCCCTCCCTATGCCAGCTCATCCCCTGGGGTACAAATGTAGAATGTGACCTCATGTTAACTTAAAAGTATTGATTTTTAAGCACATTATAGCTACTCAGAGATGTGTGTAATAGGCTGGTAAAAGAAAACCAGGCCTCTGGGGTAATAATAGGTTAGGAGGTTAAACTATGAACTTATGCCTCCATGTTTTATAACCTTATAGGTCTGAAAATAGAGAGAAGGCACATGTGGGATAAAGTGCATCTCCTGATGCTAGGTCTTGGGTTCGAGAGCCCACCCCAGGGCAGTCCTCCTGTACCCTGTGTCATCTGGGTCCGTGTCATTGGGGGTATTATCGTAGTCACTTTCAGGCGTGCTGTTCTGCTTTTCTAGCCTGGAGGCCTGCAAGAGATAAAGGCAACACCTGTTAGTTTCAAGCACAAAACATCTGGGAGCCTTGCCTAGGAACTGTTACCTATTAGGCTACATGGCCTTCAGGCCCCAATCTCACTTGGGACAGAAGCCAGCCCTTTATTGAAAATTTAGTAAAAATTTAGTAAAAGTTGACTCATAGATCCAGAAATGATTTCTCTCCCTCTTGGCACCATTTTCCTCTTAGCTCAGTGGCAACTCCATAAACAGCTCCTTGGTATAAATTAACGCAGACATGTGAGGCAACACACCCGTATTTAGTTCTCTAAGGAATATGGAGTTTAACTATAATATAATGCACACAGGCCAGCACTTATATGCCCACAGACCTTCAGTGCTGGAAGCCAGCGGCAGATTATCTAGTCTAATACCAGATGAAAAATGAAGGTCCATAAGAGCTGGCGGACAAAGCCAAGGTCACAGAGTCAGCAGAAAATAAGCACCATGAATCTAGGTCCTGTCTCCTACATTCTCCAGTATTCTGTGCCTGATGCCCTGAGGACTGTCACTGCTCAAAACACTTAGGGCTCTCTAAGAACTGCACGCAGAGACAGTTTGTATGAGCCACATGAAAAAAAATCCAGTATTATTAATTTATTGCTGCATGTTGTTTGTGAACCAAAATGGAGTAACCTAGCTTGACCCTTGGTTTCCAACCACTTTTATGTTTCCTAAAACATCTAACCTTTAGGATATAAATACTTGATGCAATTGTGGAGATTAAAAATGAGACACAGATTTAAAAGAGGAATACTAAAAATCTTTTGGGCAAATGTCTGCATGGTGAAGCATAGGGTCTTCCACGGTAGCCAAATTTGAAGGGGACCACATTCCCTTGAAGGGGACTATGTTAGTTCTGGAGTGTTTAATAAAAATGATTTTCCCTCAATATTATTTTATCCACAATGCTTTGGGAATTTCTTTATTTAGTACAGAAGTCAGCAGAAGGTGATTCAAGAACGCCTGGGTGGCTCAGAGGTTTAGTGCCTGCCTTTGGCCCAGGCCGTGATCCTGGAGTTCTGGGATTGAGTCCTGGGATCCCTAGAAGGAGCCTGCTTCTCCCTCTGCCTATGTCTCTGCCTTTCTCTCTCTGGGTCTCTCATGAATAAAACAAAATCTTAAAAAAAAAAAAAAAAAGGTGCTTGCTGGGCCCCTAAAATTCAATGTGAACTCATGCTTTACCCACTCAAATTCATCTGGCAAATGATTTAAAGTGTTGGCTTGGAGCCATGCAAGGAGTCTGTAAAACTAAGTTCTATAAAATCTGCTACAACTTTCTGGATCCCTGTGTTTACATCTCCTACCAGTAAGCAGTTCTGCTTCACCAGCTGCCTTATTTTGACCTGGCTTTATGAATCCATCAGTTGATTACTGGACACTAGAAGTGAAGCTTGAAGAGCAAAGCTAGACACTGTACCCTATGCAGGGAACAGGGAAACCAGGCTCTTCTAAAGGTGATCTTAAAAAAAAAAAAACCTCTCCCCAAACAAAAATACCCCATCTTACCTTTCACAGGAAATGCTTAATCTTTACATTTCTTTTCCTCTAGTTTTTATATATACATGCACATACATTATGGATGAGTATTTGTATGTGCATGTGTATGTGCACAGGTATACACAGACATGCACATACAAAAAGGAAACATAAACTTGTATTTAAATAATTATTCTAGAAAATTCATCCAGAGCTGCTCCAGTGGAAAAAATCTAGAAAACAGAATTAAACCCAGAAAATCTCACATTTTTATAATCAATCTTTTTGCTTTCCTTGAGGTAAATGTAGTAATTACAAATCAAATGCATTACCCCATAATGATCGAAAGTACCAGGTTTCATTTAAACATTTTAGAAGAGTAACAACTCATATATCTAATAAGTACTCAGGAAATGTTCCTTAAGCACAGAAAACAACTATAGCAATGGCCATCCAGAAAATCAGTTACTTACAGTCTTTCATCGTTGTCAACAAAAACATAGTACAGGATTTCAAATTAGCCAGCATTTAATTTTATGAAAATTATTGTAAACATGCAGAGCTAGGATCAAGACCTATTAGTTAATGTGCTGCTTGCTCTCTGAAAGCTGTTAATAGAAAAGTTACTTTATAGCTGGTGCTGGTTCAGTTTACTGAATAGATTTGCAGTATTCTCTGAATACAGACATGCCGTAAAAGCCTAAACTCATGATGAAGCTGTCAGGAACAATCAAGATTATCAGTTTAAATGATGTAACTGTTAATCTTGTATAAAACTGTCTCAGCAAGCAGTCCTTGCAAGGATTCTCAACACTACCAACGTAGGTTTTTTAAAAAAAAAAAAAAAAAAAAAACAAATTTCACAGTGGGAAAAAGAGGTTTACTTGACTCTTATTAACAAAATTTCAAATGAGCTGTTTCATTTCTACTTAACTGTCCCTTAGTTTAACTGAAAAAATTATAATAAAAACACTACAGTTCAATTTCAGAATTGTTCAGAAGACTAAGTATCATACATCAAGAATTCCTTTTAATAGACTACCTCCAAGTGCAGAAGAGAACCCCCAGAGGGCCTTGATGGGCCATATGGCACCAGTAGTGGAGAAGTATGACTCTGTCATTCCTACTGATGTGGAGGGAATGGAAAAAAGCCCAGTGCAAACTCCATCCACAGCCACCTTTCCTCCTCTTGAGTTGGTTACACTATCCTTCCGTTAAAGAGTCTGCCATGACCTGAATGCAGGTCTTCGAAGCCTGTACATGTTCCTTACTCCTTTTCAGCTTGACATCATGCACTCCTCGTGCAGGAAAGGATTTTTTTTTTTTTTAAAGTAGGCTCCATGCCCAACATGGGCCCAACATGTGGGGCCTGAACTCACAATCCTGAGATCAAGACCTGAGCTGAGATCAAGAGTTGGACACTTAACCAACTGAGCCAGCCAGGCCCCCAGGAAAGGACTTTTTAAACTGACAGTGCCTTTGGGAGCAGGAATGTCACCTAAGTCCCTAGGACCCTTTGACTTACCAAAAGGTTGGGTATAGAGGAAGTGCTTAATAAATACTGCTGTCTGCCTACTCTAAAAGGGGCTTGCTTACCTAAATCACGTATTGTTATAGAGAATGTAAATTATATATCAGCAAGCTGGATGTGACCAATTCATTAAATGAACAGCTTTATAGAAACAGCCACCTACACCTCCAATGCTGCCATGTGTTGCAATTTGATGCGGGACACAGATACCACAAAACTGGAGTGTGTCAGGTATGGCATCGACATCAAAAATGTCAACAGGCAGAAAAATAAAAAATAATAAAGCATGATGTCTTAGTGTTTCAGTTAGCCCAAAAAGACTAGTGTTAATCTGGTATCTGTTAAATTTAACACATTTGCCCTATTACAATATTTAACCAGCAGCCAGCTAATTTTTTGATTCTTTAAAAAGACAGTATGCGCCAAATAAATGTTAAAGGGTGAATTGCAAACTTTGTTAAGTAGTAAGTGAAACTGAGCAATGTGGGGTTAGGTAAGAGGGAGACTGCCTCCTACAGACACGCGTGGATGTGTGTGTGCGTGAGTGCGTGTGTGCCTGCATGCTGCTGTGCTGAGACACCTGGGGGAAGCGCTGCCTCATGCGGGACAGAAAGGCAGTTAGTGGAGGGACAGGAGGACCAGGAGAAGCAAAGCGCCCAGGAGCACTGCCCCTCCTCCAGAGAGCAGACCGGTCAGAGTGTACTTAACCCTTCGGGCGCTTTCGTCCCTCGACCAGGAAAGTGTGGAGGGGAAGGAAGGCAGAGATGAAGAGGAGGTCACAAGCGCACTCCTCCCGATCTGGAAGGGGAAAAAAAAAAAACACACTCGGGAAAATACAAAACAAACCAAAAAACCCCCGCCACCTACCCTGGATTCAGCCCGGAGTTTCCCAGTAAAAGAATCCTAAAAAGCAACTCACTATGTGAGATCAATGCTGAAATTTCTGTGACAGGCAGGCTCACTGCCATGCTAGCTGATGACAGGACCTCAGAAATGGTTACTCCTTTAGTGAGATGCCTCCCAGAAATTACTTGGAATTTATAAAGCTATTTTTCCATATGAGAAAAGAGAACACCTATGAGAATTTAATTTTGTAATATATTTTTTTTAATGGATGGCTTTAAACGAATATTGTTTTTTATTCAGGATATACTTGAAATGAGAAACTGAATGGTTCGGTTGGTAAAAGTTATCAATCTACTCTTCAGTATCGATACAGAACTTCAGCAATAAAATGACATTACATTCTAAGTGTTCCTAAAATAAAAAAGTATACTGTGAAAGTTGACAAAATTGCTTTTCTTAACTTTTGTTTTCAGTTATACAAAAGTAAGATTTTTAAGTTAGTTCAATGGCATTTCCATTACATCAAGTGTATCAGATCAATTGCCTTAGAATGTTTTAGCCCAAACAACTTATAAAAGTTGAAGTAACGGACCCCCAACTACAGTATAACAACGCTGAAATTTTACTGCACTGAAGCCTGACAAAATTAAACTAAGGTTTAATTTACTAGACCAAATCCTTTACTCTGCATTTACTCTGAGAATTTTTTGGAAACTTCTATAAAATTTGACTGAAGCTATAACAACTTTCACGTTTATAAAAGATAAATACTACTCTCTGAAAAAACATGAGTTCCACATGTAACATTTTGTCAAAACATGGGTATTTAAAATAAATTAATCCAAAAGAAATATAACATTTGAAAATCTCAATACCATACTTATCCCATTGTAAAACAAGATGGTTAGCAGCCTGTTACAGAATGCAATCTTTGGCACACAATACTTGTAAAATCGGTACAGAGGTTTTAACATTTCCCTTTTATGAAATGACAGAGCAACATTTTCTCCATGAAGAGGAGGAGGGAGATGCAGAAGCTAAGCAGGCAGGCTGACCACACATGGAGAGGCTAGAGGCTTCTAGACCTACCCTGCATGCCCAGGCTACAGATACCGCCTGCTTCACTAGGAGTGGCAGAGAAGCCACCCTGAATTCTAAGGGCTCATTTTCACAGACGGGCACCTACCTGTCTATCTCAAAGAAGACAGTACTTCTTTTTGCTGGTCACTTTTACCATTTGTTTTTGTTTTTAGAAATGGGGGAAAAAGACTGTTACAAAAAAAGTTCCAGTACTGGCTGTCTGGGAAAGATATTATGGATATGAGGGAGAAAAAGGGAAGGGAGCTGAACAAAAGCCAGAATCCTGAACTTTGCTGGAAAGCTTTCAGCTAATGGCCCTATCTGCTTATGGAAATATAAACATCTGTTGACATGTTAATACAGCAAACACAAGAGAACTCTTCTAGCCCAATTTTGCAAAGCAGAGACATGGGAATCTGCAGGTTCCGAAGAGGGAATGCAGGAGGTCAGGCTGGACAAAGAGTGAATAGCAGAAGCGCCAGTGGTGTTACTTACGTGCGTGGGGAAAGGCTGGAGTCTTGTCCTGCTCTCTTCGGGTGGTTCACTTCTCCCATTGGGAGATATGGTTTCTGACCTGATCCCGTCTCGTACATGGACATGGGCCTACTGCCCCGGGCAGACGGACGTCGCTTTAAGGAAGAGTGGTTGGAAGTGTCTGTGTACTCAGAACCAGTTTGCACCTGATATATATTGGTTGTGGCCTGTTTCCTGAGGTTCGAATTTTCACTCTGGAGTGTTTGAAGCTGAAAGAAATGTTTGGCAGTGGGACGGTGTTTTTCTATAGCAAGCAGAAAAAGCAAACACCAAGTAAACGCATACAACTACCAGCTTTAAACAGTAAGAACAGTAACAGCTAGCTGGGTTGAAAGTTACAGGTAACTACAAACAAGAACCTACTTTCCTAGCTTGAGTGACACGCAATCAATTCACTTCATCGCTCAAGCAAATTAAACAGCTTGATTTCTCATTGCAGAAAAGTTAGTTTGGGTTTTTAAAAAACGAAATGTTTAACCACTGAAAAACTGGTCAAAGTGGGCCTGGGAAATGTTTGCAGGCGAGCTGGACTCTGGATTCTTCTAATGCCGTTTCAGCAAGAGCTTGAGATCATGAAGCTATCGCTTCCTGAAAATCTAACCTGCTTTTCAAATGAGCCCTAAGCAATTTGCAAATGCCAAAAACGCCAGCAGACACCATGGAAGCAGCACAAAGATAACCAGAGTTGCTTTGCAAAGCAAGAAAGACAGTGAAGTTCAGCTTATGAAAAATCAGATGGGCTACTGCTTCCCAAAAAGCCAACAAGAAAAATCATGATCAACAAATTTTTATTACAGAATACTCTTAATATTCCAAACAATTTAGCACTTCTTAAAAAAGAGAGGGGGTCGAATCATGGTAAGTTTGCTATATTAACATATCATGAAGAAAACTGGAGGCCTATCGAGCTATGTTAACATCTTCATCTGAACGCTCCACGTGGCACGCTTGCTTCCCTCTGGTGATTGGTCAGCTTTCAGCCAGGGCTGGAATATTTGGCCTCTCTCTCTCCTTTGGCTTTGTCACCCAAAAATGCAACCTCGGCGGTGTCAGCTTTAAACACTCTAATCTGCCTGGTACCACCCTATTTTAGTTAGAGGCTGTCACTTGGAGACCCTGATTGCTCTTTCCATTCCTCACATGCAGGCTGCTTCATGGTGTTTGATGAGTTAGCGTTAAGGGATCAGCAAGGAATCATGTTACTCCTTAGCGTTTGGCATGTGAAACACAATTAACTGAGTCCCGTTTGCACAATGTCCTTCCCCTCTGGTGCTCCTCCATCTTCCATGACATTTTATAAGCTGGGTGTGGTGTAAGTTCAGCTGTCTACTCTTTGACAGAGGCTATAAACTCTGACCAAATTCCCCACCAGGGCCAAGGCTTAAGTCCATAAACAAATGTATTTGCACCAGAAGATCATTACTTTTTCAATAGCAAACCCATTCAGTGTTAGGAGTTACTTTCAATTTTTATTTAGAAAGCACCGATCTGTGAATAGTACACCAATAGTGGCTGCTCCTCTTCATTAATTAGCATCTTTTCCAAGCAACTGTTAAATATGAAAGATCAGATACAAATCATGCTACTTTGTCAACTATATACACACACAAATTTTAACCTAACTTTGAAATAAAACCAACACATCTTTGCAAAATAAGCAAATTTTACATAGTTTATGGTAATAGAGCCAAATTTTTGTGACAGTTTGACTGATACAGCCTCTGCCACAAAAATACCCTCATTTCTGTTTTTTCCAAGTATGATCCACTAAGGAATGAGAGCGTGCTTCTACACCACAAAGGCTTACAGGGTATAACTTCTGTCTGTAACTCATTTTCCAAAGAACAGCTGCAAAGTGACAAGCAGCCACTGAAAATTCCTACATTCCAGGATAGAGACAAGCATAAGGTGCCTGTCAAACTATTTATTAGGGAGCCCATACCCTAAAGTGAAAGGGACACAATCCAGAGAGTGAGGAGCAGAAGTGGCACATGCTCCCTCAATGAACGACTAGGGTATCTGGTCATGTGCTTGTCTGTGTAAAAACCTTCTCAGAGTTTTTTTAAAAAAAAAATGCCTTGAAATCTGAAACTAAATTTTAATACTTGTCATACCTCTAAAACATCCAGTGTGGATTTTACTTGAATGTGTTTTGATGAGCACAAGTTCCTTGTATCAATTCTAAAATATTCTAGTCCTATTTAGAGATATGTCCTAGAATAAATTTGGGTGATGCTAGTCTTAATAAGAATCAGACTACATTTCTTTGTTTGGAAGGGGTGTTAAAAGGAAATGAGAAGTTACAGATAATTCAATTGCTCCAGAAATCAAAAGCATTTCTAAGAATTGAGATAACCCATGAGCAATGGCAAATAATTTCACTCTACATTTCTTAAGGCTCAAAACATTTGATTTTCAGAGATATGAGGTTATCTCTGACAATTTCTACAAATGCTAAGGGAGCATTATAGCAAAAAAAAAAAAAAGTGATGCTTAGCAGACTGATTTACACTGGCAAAGTCAGCATGTTTCAGAAAATTCACCTCAACAAATTAGTTCAATTAATGGGGACAAACTGCCATTCACTAAGCAAAAGATATTTCAGAAAAGACAGAAGAAGAGTAAGCCCTGTATGATACAGCTAAAGGGCTTTTGGTCTGCCCTGTTCACAGCTACACACTGGCCCTAGATGGGGTCAGACTGGCCCAGAACAAGGAGTTGATAAATGTTAATCTGGTTGATCTTTAGGTAGTATTTTAAGTTTGGAGACATTTATCTCAAAAAAAAAAAAAAAAAAAAAAAAAGATCTAGAACTCTATAGCAAAAGAATCCTACCTAGACCAAGCCCCGGGCGAGAGTGCACTGCAGTGTCCTTCCCTGACAGGCAGAGGGGACAGATCTCCTTCCTTCCTTGGACATTATTGGGAAGGGCCCAGCCACAAAGGGAGTGCACCTTGTCCTCTGTTCTTGATAACGATTCTGAAACATTATTCTTCAAATGGCAGAATTAAGACACAGATACATACTTCGTTTTGTTTCTGTTTAAGGGAAGTATACAAAATCTCATTTTGGAGAGAACTGGATGACAGGCACAGCCTTCTCATAAAGACTTACATACATAATCGCCCTCTTAAGCATATTCCTTGCTGCTATTAGCTATACTCCTTTTAGGGATTAGCTTATTCATATATTTCTGACTCTCCCAAAAGGCAGCAAATGAGAAAATGCGGGGCAAACGAGATTGTCTCTTACTAGTGTACAGCTCTCGCTCACTAGTGCAAACAAAAATGTTTTCTTATATTCATGGAGCCTCTACTCTGTGATGGGCCCTGCTCTAGGCTCTGAAGACATCATAAATTAGTAAGTACTGGTGAAAAACAGGGGGGTTGTGGGACAGAGCTGCCAGAGCTGGGTGGGTTAACAACTGAGAATACGAGCGAGCAGGGATGGCACCCCCTGCATGCAGCGCTGATAAACACAGACACCTGTCCATGGCTTTTATCTGCTCTGTCTTCCTGGTGTGATTCTTTAGAATGAGCAGTAGGAAGACACGCATCCATGGAAGGGCATCTAGATTCCCAGGAAGCATGGAGTAGTGCAAGGGTGGCTGCAGCTGATATAAACACTTACTGGGCTGTTACATGTCAACTGCTTGGGAAACTCACTCTGGATTTCTTTCTTTCTTTTTTTTTTTTCTGGATTTATTTCTAATCAAAAACACTTTGTCTGAAATATTCAAATACATACTACTTCTAAAAAGACAGGTTGGCCCAAAGGTTTTTATGTCTGTTTACAATAACTGCTTTTCTCCCCTTTGCCCACCAGCATTGTGCCTGGGATTCTTCCTTATACTATGAAGTTAAAGAGTCAATCATCCTGGCATTTATTAACGTGTTACCTTTTTCTGCATAATTCTCAGCTCGTCACTCAAGTTGTTATTCACCTTCATTAGCTGCTGTATCTTGGCCTCAGAAGCCACTAGAGCGTTTTTGACCTCCATAAATTCCTGCACAGTGACTGGTCCATCTGATAAATCTGAATCTAGACTCTAAAAATAAATTGGGGAAAATGTTCACAATCTGAGATGATGATAACATTCAAGACTCACAGCTAAAGAATTTCAAATTCTGACCATGCCAGCTGGACTGCAAAGTTAATCAAACCAAATCAAGGCTTCTGGGAGGAACGCAAAAATAAAACATAAAGGTAGGGTTACTATAATATTTGAAAAATATCAGAGTCAATATTTTCTGAGAACAGGGAGTGCAGTCAGCAAATCTAGTCTGATGAGGACTCTCAGTGCATTTGTCTTGTTTTGCCTGTCTTTCTCTTGCTCATTCCTTTTTCTTTTTAAAAAAATCGTTCTTTCAGTAATTCCTTCATTCCAGCTATTCGTAGTGAGCATCAGGCAGTATTCTAGGGACTCAGGATATATAAAAAAAGAAAACAAAGATTCTAGCTTCCATGGTGTTTGCACCCCGGCAGAGTGGGAAAGGACAAAATAAAAATAAGTGACTACACAGTATGACAACAGATGACAAGTGCTGTGGAAAACAGAGAAAATGGAGCAGGGTGAGGGGCTGGGGAGAGAAGGGGTGAAGGTGGGTGCCTTTTAATTAGACAGGTGGGATAAGCCTTGGTAGGTGAGACATGAGTAGCAGCCGGAAGGACATTAGTCCAGTGGCTGTCTGGAGGAGGAACGTTCCAGTCAGCAGCAAAGCTTAGCTAGAGGGAAAGGGTATGCAAGGCAGAGAGGAGGCGGCCAATCGGTAGGATCCTGTCATGATTTTGGCTTTCGCTCTGACTGAATTCAGTGCTTCTGACAACACTGGGCAGGGGTGTATCAGATGGGACAAGTGACTTTTGCTGTTCCCTTCACATTCCCTGTATCTGTTCATGGCACTACCTTTCTCACAGTTGTGTGAGCTGGACAACTTTGGACACATCTTCTGTAAGTTTACCTCACTGCCTCAAACATTCGAAGTTATTGTTGAGATCTGTCTATCTCTTCCTATTTGTCCATTCTCAAATGTTTGCTGAGCTCCTCTGTGGGTCAGGTCTGGGGCGAGAGTCCTGAAGACTTAGCAGTGGGTGGGCCAGCAGGCCTCCACTGCCTTCTCCTTGGGCCCACACTCATTCTGTTACTGTACTTCTCTTCTGTCTGGACCCTCTCTGCATAGGCTCCAGGATGGCCTCTTCAGCAGTACCCCAACTGGGCTTCCTTCCTCTGCCCTCTGACCCAGCAAGAACAGTCCTCCCAAAAGAGAGGAACCAAAATTGCTGACCACTGCCCTCCTGCTCCGCCTCAGAGCTTCCTGGACACTACATTGTCTGCCAAGGTGTAGATTCTTCAGTCCGGTGGCATGATCCTCCAGGTGTGACACCTGCTCTGTGCTTTGAGTCTCACCCCTTTTAGGCTGTCTCTACATGTGAGTGGGTTCTGTTAGGATGCTCTCTTTCATCTTCTCTCTGCTTAGACTACCCTCCCTGCCTCTCCACTTACCTAATCCCATGCATCCTTTAAGGTACATATGAACAGACATTCCACATACACGGCCTCCTCTGACACTTGTCCTCGACAACAGGCTGGGTCTCCTCTCATATCCCCACCCTTGGCTTCTATTTGTGTTTCTTATGACATTATCACTTTGTACTTCCGACTGCAGTTCTCTTTCCTACTAGGCAGAGAGAGCCTCACAGGAAAGGAACTAGGCTTCAAGAGAGTATGATCCAGAGAAGTCACTGGGTAAACATTTGTTGAAGGAATAAAACACATCAGCCCCTCCTCACAAGTTTTATAAAACCACAGTTGGGGCAGGGCTGTGATTCAGCAATCAATTTAGGGACACAGGACCCCCTACTTTAAAATGATTTACCTTGCTGGCCCAAGCTAGTAGTAAACCTCACTTTACCCCCAGAGCACCTTTCACAGTGATTTACAAATAAGGTGATTTTGCAGGAGGAATGATTCCAAAATGAAACATATTCTCCCCTTCTATGTGCAATGTGTCACCTCACCTTCTGCCTGTTTGCTTTGCTTGCAGTAGCTTCCAGATCCGTGTCTTCGTCTGAGGCCACACTGTCATAGTCTGGCTGGTCATTGTCTTGACTCTCAATGCTGTGCTGGTTACTGATCGTTTTCAGTATCAACTCCACATTGTCTATCAATAGAAGCAAATAACTTTTCTTCAGGCTTAAAAAAAAACCTTTCCCCCCAAAATTCACTGGGAGGATTTTTGGGTTTAGCCATTCAAAGACTAAGAGAAAAATGACAGAAATAGCAATGTTATATTCATACCAATGTAAGAATCACACAGCAAGTCATCAACCAGACAGAGGACCTATTATCAATCACAGAGGCATTTCAGCATCCCTTTGGGCCACTCAAATATGGGCAAATTAATTAGGTGGTTTATGGAAGTGCTGCTCAGGTTGAGAAGGCAGGTTCCCGAGGGGACAGAGTATAGTTCCAAACCAGGGAACTAAAGCCATAACGAATGTAAGATTAACTGTGATTCAACTGTAACTGTAACTTGTTTACAAGGTAACGTTACTGAAAGGAGGCTGTTAAAATGGAGCCTAGGAACTTGGTGCTCATAGAACAGGCATACTGGCACTTATTCGGCTGACTACCAGAGAGAAAGGGAAAAATAGAACAACCCACTGGACACACACCTATGTAGACCATACAGGGGAGCAGGGATGATTCCATAGGCTCTAACACATTTTGAATAAAAGATTTCACAAATTATCCAAGTCTGTCCAACTTCCTCTCTGAGGCAACTCACTCAAGCTGATCTCTGATTTCCAATATTGTTTCTGGATATTTTTTTTTTTTAAAGATTTTATTTATTTATCCATAGACAGAGAGAGAGAGAGAGAGGCAGAAACACAGGCAGAGGGAGAAGCAGGCTCCATGCAGGGAGCCCGATGTGGGACTCGATCCCGGGTCTCCAGGATCACACCCCAGGCTGCAGGCGGCGCCAAACCGCTGTGCCACCGGGGCTGCCCTGTTTCTGGATATTTTGATGGGTAATATCTGGGTGATAAATTATGGCTACTCAAAATGAATTTTAATTTTTCAAATTAATATCTAAAATACATGTATCATCGGATTTACAGAATACTCAATACAGAAAATCTGAAACTAATGGTAATCAACCATAGCCATTGATCTATTTTGTGCTATACCTTTCCAGTCTTTTCCCTAAACATATACACATAAAGAGTCCATTTCATTACCTGCATTGGTATGTTTATAAAATTGCTGTGGAGACTGACTTAGCAAATCTTGAACCATTATCCTGAGAGGAAACACGGGGGTAGGTTCCTACCAGCCTCTGCTCATAACATTTTTGTCAACCGATCAGCACATAACCTTACTGTTCAGACATTAATTTTTTAAAAAAGATTTACTTATTTGAGAGATAGAGAGTGAGAAAGCAAAAGAGCCTAAGTAGGGAAAGGGGGCAGAGGGAGAGAGTCTTTCAAGCAGACTGAAGCAGGGCTCAACTCCAGGACCCTGGGATCACAACCTGAGCTGAAGGCAGCCACTTAATCAACTGAGCCACCCAGTGTCCCAACATTGAAATATTTATAATTCATCAGGGCTCACAAAGATAAACTTTTCATGACAACTGCTTTAAGTAACTTATAATTTTAAATTTAATACTTGTGCCAAGTTAGAAGGCCAGAGGATCAAGCACTTAAGCACCTTGCAAGAGTTACCTTTAGAACCAGAAAGAGGACTGCCTTGCTGTCTCCTCTTGGCGTCACTGAGAATGTCGATGACCAATGTGGCAAACTCATGGGCGTTAAACCGAGCTAGTTTCTGTCTGCCCTGAGAGTGAGAAAATAATTGGAAATATTCCTCAATGTGAAAATATACATGTGGATATTCACATAAGACCAGTCACACTATTGTTAGACTTGAGCAAGGCTCCCAAGCAAAGCCTCCCAAGTATGATCAAAGCACCACTGTAGCCTAGGGAAGGCACACATCAATGTCTTCCCTGCACACAGTTTAGAGCCATCTATATTAGGAGATCTCAATAATGCCTTGCACATTTATTTTTGTGAACAAAACCAAAATGTTTTTAGTTGATACTTTTTCCCCCCATTATCAATTCAGTTTTGAAGTAGACCCAGTTATGAAAAATTAATTTGGAAGAAAAATTTAAAATTTCAAGAAAAAGTGATAGCCTAGATGCTGGGACTTCATCATCATATACAGCCAGTAGTCAGTAAGAATCGAAAGGTCTTCCCAATTTACACAACTTTTCTCCTCCTAACAGAGGCTTAGGCTGTTTCTAATGCTCTATTATTTTATACAGTACTTTGATGAAAATCACTATGCGTAAATATTTGTTATTTTTATTTTATTAGCATATATTCCTAAATAAGGATTACCTGTGAGGAAAGGATGGACTTAATTTTGAAACTTTTAAAATCAGTTAACAAATTGCTTTTCTGAAGTCTATAGCAATGTAAGCTCTTAACTATAGCATAAGAAAAAGTCCATTTTGCTATATCTTTACCAGCTTGGAGTATCCTTTATTAATTTGATTGATGCAATTTTCATTAATGCCTTTAGGCTACTTTCTTGGATTGCTAATAAGGTTAAACATTTCTTCACATTTGTAAGCCATTTATATTTTTTCTGTGAATTATTTTATATTCTTTTTCAGTCTTCTATTTATATTTATTGACTTTCTTATCAATTTCTTGAGTTTTATGGGTTTGTGTGTATAAAGGACCTTAACACTTAAATCAATCAAAAAATTTAAAATACCTGTCCTGGGACCTTAACACTTAAGTCAATCAAAAAATTTTAAATACCTGTCCTGGGAAAGTTAAATACCACATTAGCCATTTCCAAAATAACACCACTGGTTACTTCTCAGACTTGGCCACTTGCCTGGTTCCGTGTTGAAGAGTACTCAGGATTGACCGGAAGGAAGGGGACGACAGTTGTCTCGGTTACCAGGGTGCTGTGGTTTTGCGTGGCAAGCCAGACTAGCCAGAGGAAAGAGTCAGAGATAGAATCTTATCACCACCGGTGTGCCACTGCTTCTCTGAGAGTCACAGCTCCCGCGTCACAAGGGAGACTCGGGGAAGCACACTCCGAAATCAACATACAAAAAAGTAAATGTGGACACACGAATCAACAGGACAGTAGAAATCGGGCAAGTAAAACATGGAGGTGGGCAGCTAGTCACTGCCCACTGACAACAGAAGCTTATAAGAGAAAGCCACATGTTCAGTCACCTGCATCAGTCTCTCGCCTGTCAACTTCATCGTACACATCCATGGCAAGTTCTTCAAACAAATGATTACTTAGCTGCAAGTAAAAAAAATATCAGGGACACAAGGGACAAGGATTAACACTAGGAGAATGAGTGGGCACTACGACTTATTCACTCTTTAATCTCCAATGTCTTATCCAAGTCCGGTGCTTAGTAAATATCCACTGTTAAACAGACAATAGTATTTCCAGAATAGTATAGATCTTCTAGAACTATCTGCCTCCCACAGCAGTCTCACTCCTTTGTGAAATGTAGATAGGGGTGTGCTGTAAAGGAGGGGAGAATCATCTGAAGTGCATGATCACAAAGCAGGGTCCAGGTCCGAACTTTTCGCGTGACTGTTTAAAGTCCCCTCTTGTGGTCTTGGGCATTTGCCAGTGTCCCCAGATCCTAAACTCTTGGTGGGACATGATGCCAAGACATGCTGTATTGAGAAGTTAAAACATGCCATTGCAGAATCCACCACCCACACTTCAGTAAGTCTCTTTGCTATATTCTTCAGTAAGCAGGCCTCCAATCCCAGAAAAAACTGAGCATCCCCAACAAAAGACAGCTTGTCTAATCAGCGCACAGTGCAGTGTCAGCCAATGAAACAATCTCCACACTTCTGGGTAGCCACCGGGATGGGGGAGGACAGTTGGAGTCTTCCTCAAGCTGGGTGAGGCTAAGCCTCCACCAGCATGGCTCCAGCTCTCTGAACCTTTTTCCTCATAAAACACACCCTGATGCTTGCTGGCTGTCTCTTTTTAGTTGACACTGGATTTGTTTTATCCCCTACTGTGTCCCTTATGTCCACACACAGTACCTGGCCCAGTAAACATCCAGTCACATGCTGACCAGAAGGTATTATATGTGGCAATTTAAACTGCTGGCTACATAGACCTTATGGGAGCTTGTTAAAGGGCACACTGTTGGGTGAAAAAAGCAGCATATACAATTCTATAATTAGGATTAAGCCTCTGTTCAAAAAAATGATATGCATATAAAACAAGAATTACAAGAAATATATCAAAATCTTGAGCCTGAATCCATTAAGAATATAGTAAATGTTAAAAAAAAAAAAAAGAATATAGTGAATGCAGATGATTCCCCCTGTCCATTTCCCACATTTTCTTTAGTGTGGTTAATTTATGATTGAAAATAAACTCAGAGGGCAGCCCCGGTGGTACAGTGGTTTAGCACCGCCTGCAGCCCAGGGCGTGATCCTGGAGACCCTGGATAGAGTCCCGCGTCGGGCTCTCTGCATGGAGCCTGCTTCTCCCTCTGTCTGTGTCTCTGCCTCTCTCTCTCTGTGTCTCTATGAATAAATAAATAAAATCTCAAAAAAAAAAAAAAAAAAAAGAAAAGAAAAGAAAAGAAAAGAAACTCAGAGAGCCTTTTGCTAGATAAGATGATGAAGGATTGGGAACTTGAACTTGCATCATAAATATCCAGTCTTTTCCAGTAAGGGGCTACCAGCTGAGGTTATTATTCCTCAGTAACTACAACAGCAATACTGGAGGCTAAAACAAAACAAAACAAAACAAAACAAACAAACAAACAAAAATCTGAAGGCCTACATCCCAGGCACTGTGCTATCATCACATTAATACTCAAAACACCTCTATGAAGATAGATAGGAACTACTATTATCCCACTTTACAGACAAGGAGATCAAAGCACAGAAGTTAGGAGCTGGCCTGAAGTCACAGAGCCAGCAAGTGATGGACCCAAGATCCAAGTTTAAATCTCTGCAAATGTTAACACTTAACAAACATAAGAAATATGTTAGTCTTCTATTTCTTTCAGCTTCTCATCCAGGAGGGAGAGGTACTGTAGAATAAACACTGAAGTGGCACTGATCTAGCTATCCACCTCCCCACCCCTGCCCGGCCCCTGAGGAGGAGACTACAGAGTGGGGTCAACAAATAATCCCAGTAGCCCATCCTCACTGAGCAGTTCAGATCTGCAGCTGTTGATGGATCATTAGTCCCCTTTCCAGGAGAAACACCAAGGCACAGAGAGGCTAAAGAGCTTGTCACAGATGAGCTCTGTGCCTGACCAGTCTGACCAGAGCCCAAGTTCTTGAGGGCTGTTCTCAACTTTGTTCTACATATTTATCTAGCACCTGCCACATGCCAGAGATATTACAAACCTGACCACCGTCCCCCCTTCATGCAGCTTTCAGCTTAGCAAATGCAGGTCAAAGAGAGCTTGAGTATTACATATAATGTTTGAATTATTTAAAATAAAAATTGGGTTATATATTACAAGTAATTAAAAGGAAATCACAGACTATTTAGTGCTGATTCCAAAGTTTATCACCTTAATTTTACCACATGACCTCCTTAATTTAAGAAAGGTGATAAAACACACAGACACACAAAACAGATACAGAACACAGAGACACAAAATTGCATAAAATACATTTATTTCATATCACAGTTAAATACTAGTAATGATAAATTCATTTTATGTAATATTTAGTACTTAATATTATATGAAGTACTAGTAAATGGTCTTCTGTAAAAAGAGAAATGAAGAGGAAGTCATACGTTAGGGGAGATGCAATATCAGAGGCAGGCTTGGGGAAACTCCCACCTACACTGTCCAGGTGGTCAGATTTCAGCTACTTGAATGACAAAAGGGCCAGAAGCTGGGACAGGGGAGCATTGCACAAAGAGAGGATTCCCAGAAGGGGACTTGAAGGTGGCCTCAGAGTGTTAATCCAAAAGAAGTAGATAAAAACATTCGTGCACATGCATGCACACATGCAGGGGCACTGGTTGGAAAGCAGGGAAAAACTGAATGGTGAGCACTGGATGCCACCCTTCAAGGTCATGTCAGGAAGTTAAGAATCTTGGTTCTGATTCAGAGAGCTATGAGAACAGCCCGAGGCAGGCAATCTGGTGGTGGAAGCAGCTGGGGAAGCAAGCTGGTGAGGGCTCATCTGTGGGGACCAAACTAAAAGGAAGTGAGCCCAGTGAAGTTAGTCTGTTCGGGCCCTGACTGAGGCTGAGATGGGCAGGCTGGGAAGAGGTATGCAGACTGGAGGGAGGCTGGGCCGTGCAGAACTGGGTGAGCTCTGAGCTCACACCCCGGGCAGGCCCACCAGCCCTTGCAAGCATACACTTAAGCTCTGATGAACCAGGTAGGCTACGCAAGACAGTGATGACTGTGGCCTGATCTCAAATGGCAGCAAGTGATCTGTGGCACTCACCACTCCAACATCAGCTTGTGTCTTTCCCTAGTGTCCTAGGAGGCTACTGGAAGGCATCCCTACCCTGTAAAAGAGTGAGTCCCACTCTGACATTGAGAGAAACTAGGAACTCTCAGGAGGAAGAATAATTCCCTAATGTCAAATGCACAGTCGTTTTCAAAATGACAGAGAAAAATGCCATTACCTGAAGCAGAGCCAACTAAACTTATCCCCTCCTTAGGATTTTACAACATCTCAGAGTATGAAACAAAGTCATCAGGTACAGCAGGTAATGGGCGGAGGACAGGTATTATTAGCAGGATGCATGGCTTCTCACACTGAATGTCACTAGGAAACAGAGATACTCACGGATTGGAGTTTCTTCTTAGCAGCTTTTGCCAATTCAGACAAATCCAGGCTGCTAAGAAAATGTACAAAACTAATAAGCAAATAAATAAACACCATTTTTAGGAGCTCTGAAGAAGAGTAAGATAGCCAAAGCCGTAAGACATTAATTAACAGTTGAGGGACAGGGTCAGAAACAAAAATTCTATAGTCCGTTAGAGTGAGAAAAATGTGAACACAAGAACTTGTAACTCCTTTTAGAAACATCATACTCATGTAACATGATAGAGAAAAATAATCACTAAATAACTAGAAGACAAAAACTATTGCCGGGTTCATCACCAGGCCCTTTATGTGAGAGGTCACAATTCCTGAAGCACTAAAAAAAAAAAAAAAAAAAAAAAAAAAAAAAAAACATGACAGGAAGAAATACGAAAAGGGCAGAATATGAAAAACCAGAATGGCAAGACTGTATCTGGAATTCCAGCTAATTGTTTCATTAACTCTTGATAGTATTTGTGCAAAGGTAATTGGATAAATAAGGATTTTAAAGTTCATTCTTGCAGATGTGAACTCAGCTAACCTCACAGACCAGGGGCCAGCAGATTATAGCCCATTTCTTTGTTCAGCCCATGGGCTAAGCATGGTTTTTACATTTTTAGGTGGTCTGAGGGAAAAAAAGAAAAAGAAAAAGAAAAATATTTCATAACATGAGAAGAATTGTATGACACTCACATTTCAGTGTCCAGAAATGAAATTTTATTTCAGCTGATATGCCCTTCATTTATATAATGCCATGGATGCTTTCCTCTACAACTGGCAGAGCTGAGTAGTTGTGACAGAGACTGTATGGCCCACAAAGCCTAAAATATTTACCATCTAGCCCTTAAAAAGTTTGCCAATCCCTGTTATAGACAAAGAATATCCTTTCTTACTATACAGAAATACTTTGTGGTATAACCTATAGACATAATATATTGTCACGACTGGCTAAAACTGTGACAATTATCACTGACTTCAATTTTACTAATAAATTTGTTACTCGTACTCTTTCAAACTTAAGTTTTACATGGTGGTTTACTTACAGCCGTCTTATTTCCAAATTGTATAGCCATAAAAGAGAAAAATGTATGGGCTTTGTTAAATACAAAATATAATACGCTTAAACACTATACAACCAAGGAAATAACAGTGACAGATAAAATTGATTGGCATTTCAATGGCCTTACCTGTCTGCCATTTGAGGTATTATAAAGTGCTGTCCATTTTTGTGATCTGAAACAGAAAACAAGTCAAAGTTTTGTTTATATAAATACTGGTAATATCAATAAAGGAACACCATCATAATTTTCCCAATTTACGTTTTGCAACTAGTAGTTTCTCATAATTATGAATTATGGGGAAGTGGGGGGGGGGGAGAACAGAAGTGGCCAGATTGGCTACAAACTCCCTAAGATCTGACCAGTAGAAAGAATCATATTCTCATTTTCTTTTGGTACAAAAGTCTAGACATCATTAAGCAAAAGCCTGTACTCAAGCTAATCCTACATTTTATTCCCAGTATAACTGATGATCTTTAGTCATGGACAAAACTTTTAGGGAGCTGAATTAGCTTAGAACAGGCTTTTATCAGCACTCCATGTGGGATGGGGGAGCACCCTTGGGCTCTGGTGGCTCATCTTCAAATTAATCAATTAGCATAAAACCATCAGGGCTGGGGCAGGTGGTCTTCGCATATCCAGATGTGGCTTCCCTCTGCAATGCTTACTGACCCAGTCCCCATCTAGCTTCTGGAGGAGTTGATCAAACACCAATGAATAAAAAGCCATTATAAATATTCACATCTAGGTTTTTGTGTAACCATTAGTCTTTATTTCTCTTGGGTAAATACCCAAGAATGGGACTTCTAGGTTATGGAGGTTATTAGGTAAATGTATGTAAAACTTGGTAAGAAACTGCTAGACTTTTCTGACAGAATAGCTCTATTGTTTTGTTTACCAGCCAGCAATGTAAGAGAGGTACAGTTGCTTTACATCTTGCCACTCATGCTGTCACTTTTTTTGGCAGATTTTTAATTTTTAGTCCTTCTAATAGGTGTATAACAGTATCTCATCATGCTTTTAGCTTGCATTTCCCTAATGGCCAATGATGCTGAACGTCTCACTTCATGTGCTTATCTGGCATCTGGATAGTCTTTGCCCGGTTTGTACTGGATTCTTACTGTTGAGTTTTACATATTTAGGTATAAATATTCTGGATCCAAGTCCTCTGTTAGACATAGGATTTTCTAATATTTTCTCCCGGGCTGTGGCTTGTTTTTTCACTCTCTTTATTGTAGTTTTTGCAGAGCAAAAGCATTCAATTTTGATGAAGTCCAATTTACCAGTATTTTACTTGATCCAAGATCACAAAAATTCTTTCCTGTTTTCTCCTGGAATTTTTATACTTTTAGGTTTTACATTTAGATCTATGATTCATTTTGAGTTAGTTTTTATACCAGCGGTACTTAAGTTTATATTTCTGCACATGGATGTCCAGTCTATATACTTAAAAAAACTATTCCTCTTCCATGTAATTGCCTTTGCAACTGTCAAAAAATCCACTGAACACACTTATGTGGGTCTATTTCTGGATTCTCTCTACTGTTTCACTGACTTGTATGTCTACCTCTTTATCATATCCACTGTCTGAGTACAGCAAGAGTTAAAATTGGGTGGTGTGATTCTGCTCACATTCTTCTTTTGCAAAACAGTCCCATTGTAGTTCTTCTGCCTTTCCATGTAAATTTCAGAATCAGCACATTTATGTCCACAGGAAAATCCTTGAATTGCATTAACTTTACAAACTAATTTGTGGATAATCAACTTGCTAACTCTATCGAGTTTTCCAACCCATAAACATAGTTCTCTCTCCACTGATTCAGGTCTTTCTTGATTTGTTTCAGCAACATTTTGTAATTTTCAGCATGTAGAGCCCATGAATATTTTGTCAGATATATACACAAGCATGTAACTTGGAGCTATTATAAATGGTGGTGTTTTTCTAGCTTGTTTCCAATTGTCAACTGCTAATCTATAGAAATATGATTGATTTTTGATTATTTCCCTTGTATTCTGCAATCTTGCTAAACTCACTTATTAGTTGTAAGAATGTTATTCTAGACTCCTTGGGATTTTCTACATAGAACCATTTTACTTATGACTAGTTGTATCGCTTCCATTTCAATCTGTATGTCTTTTATTTTTCTTGCCTTTTACACTGGTTAGGACTTCCATGGCAATGCTGAATAGGAGTGATAGGAGTGAACATCCTGGCCTTGTTTCTAATATTCGAACAAAAGCATTCAATCTTTCATCATTAAGCATGATGTTAGCTGTGGGTTTCTACAGATAATCTTTATAAGGTTAAGGAAGTCCCTTCTATTCTAAGTTTGCTAAGTTTATTTCTTTTATGAAGGATGCTGTATTTTGTTAAATGCTTTTTCTGCACCAACTGGTAAAAGACTGGTGGTTTTCACCTGAAAATATTTTCTAATTTTCCTTGAGATTTCCTCTTAGACCCATGGATTATTTAGAACTTTGTTGTTAATTTCCAAGCATTTGGGTATTTTTCAGTTACATTTTTATTATTTATCACTAGCTTAATTCCATTATGGTCTGAAAATATACTCTGGAGGATTTTAATTCTTTTAGATTGGTTAAGGTTTGTTATATAACCCAGGATATGGTCTACCTTGGTGAATGATCAACATGTACTTGAAAGGAATGTGTATTCTGACAATGTTGGGTAGAGCATACACTATGTCAACTAGACGCAGTTGGCTGATGGTTTGGTTTCAGTTTGCTATCCTTGCTAATTTTCTTCTTTTAAATTTTGTTTTACTTATTTCTTTTCATAGTTTCCATATCCAATGTGGCACTTGAACTCATGACCCCAAAAAACATCAACAGTCACATGCTCTACCAACTAAACCAGCCAAGTGTCCCATATCCTTGTTGATTTTCTTTTTTCAATTTTATTTATTTATTCATGAGAGTCACAGAGAGAGGCAGGGACACAGGCAGAGGGAGAAATATGATTTCTCCCCTACAGGGAGCCTGATATATGAGACTTGATCCCAGGACCCCAGGACCACAACCTGAGCCAAAGGCAGAACCTCAACCACTAAGCCACCCAGGTGCCCCTTTTTTGTTGATTTTCTATCTACTAGTTCCTTCTGTTACACTAAATGAAGATGATTGAATATCCAAGAATTGTGGATTTGACCTTTCCTCCTTTTAGTTCTATCAAAATTTGTTGTATTTTGGAACTCTGTTGCTACGTGTGTACACATTTGGAATTATTACATCTTCTTGGTAAATTGACTGTTTTATCACCAACTTACGTCCCTCTGTATCCCTGCTTAATTTTCCTTGCCCTGAAAGTCTACTTTGTTTGATATTAACATAATCACTTTAGCTTTCATTTACTGTGTTTGCAGAGCTTATCTTTTTATATCTTTCTGCTTTTTTTTATTTTTTTTTATTTATTTATGATAGTCACACACAGAGAGAGAGAGGCAGAGACATAGGCAGAGGGAGAAGCAGGCTCCATGCACCGGGAGCCCGACGTGGGATTCGATCCCGGGTCTCCAGGATCGCGCCCTGGGCCAAAGGCAGGCGCCAAACCGCTGCGCCACCCAGGGATCCCTATCTTTCTGCTTTTAACTTACCTCTATCATTATATTTAAAGTGAGTTTCTTATAAACAGCATATAGTTAGGGCTCATTTTTTTTTGTTTTTTTTTAAGATTATTTATTTATTCATGAGAATACACAGAGAGGAGAGAGAGAGAGGGGCAGAGGGAGAAGCAGGCTCCATGCAGGGAGCCCTACGTGGGACTCGATCCCCAGTCTCCAGGATCACGCCCTGAGCTGTAGCTAAACCGCTGAGCCACCTGGGCTGCCCATGATTTTTTTGTCTTAAATCTGTTCTGACAATCTCTTTTCAATTGGTACATTTAGATCATTAACATAACATTTAACGTAATTATTAACACATTTGGATTTAAGTCCATGATTTTATTATTTAGTTTCTCTTTGGGCCTCAGTTTTTTGTTCCTCTTTCTCTCTTTCTGTCTCTTTTCTGGAATGTTCTGAAGTATCTTTTGATTATTTGAGTAATTTTTAACATTCCATTTTATCTCTAGAGGTTCTGTTCACCTATCATTGCATAGTCTGTTTTTAGTGGTTGTACTACGCATTATAGTATATATATAACCTTTTGGTCTACTTAGAATATTTTGTCATGTTATGAAGAATGCAAAATCCTTACCTCCATATTTCTTTTACCTGCTCCCCTTTTATGTCGTCATTATCAAATGTATCACACTGACATATGTTGAAAACTCCACCAGATGAGCATTTAACTGTCATACATATATCAAAGAATTTAGGAGGGAAACCGTCTATTATACTTATCCAGATATTTATCATTTCAGTTGCTTTTCTTTCACTCCTGAAGTTCCAGATTCCCACTGATATCATTTCCCTTCTATCCAAAGAACTTTTTCGCATTTCTGTTAGAGCAACTAGTTCTCTTCATTTTAAAATGTCTTTATTTTGCCTTCATTCTTGAAGGTTATTTTCACTGGAAGTGGAATTCTAAACTGACAAGTTCTTTTCTTTCAGGACTTTAAAAAGTTGTTCTAGGGCAGCCCAGGTGGCTCAGTGGTTTAGTGCTTGCCTTCAGCCCAGGGCATGATCCTGGGGTCCCAGGATAAGAGTCCCATGTCAGGCTCCCTGCATGGAGCCTGCTTCTCCCTCTGCCTGGCTCTCTGCCCCTCTCTCTCTCTCTCATTAATAAATAAAAATAAAATCTTTAAAAAAAATAAAAATATAAAAAGTTGTTCTACTTTTCATCTCCACTATTTCCAATTAAAATCCACATTCAAAAAATAAAATACAATAAAATAAAATCCACATTCATTCAAAAAATTGACTTTTCAAGTTACGTTGTTTTTTTCCTTGGCTGCTTTCAAATGTTTTGTTTTTTCAAGCAGTTTGATTTTGATGTGTCTGAGTGAGGATTTCATTGAGTTTATCCCATTTGGAATTCTCTGAGCTACTTAAATCTATAAATCTATTGTCTTTTGCCAAATCTAGAATTTTGAACCCATGTTTCTTCAAATATTTTATCTGTACCAGGCTTTCTGATCTCTTTCTGGGAATCTGAGGATACAAACATGACATTCTGATATTGTCCCATAGGTCCTTGGGCTCTGTATTCAGTTTCTTTTTCCTCCCACTCTTTTTTCTCTCTTTTGTTCAGACTGGGTAATTTCTAGTGATCTATTTCAATTCACTGACTCTTTTCTTTGTCATCTCCAATCTGCTCTTAAGCCCATTCAGCAGGGCACCTGGGTGGCTCTGTGGTTGAGTGTCTGCCTTTGGCTCAGGTCATGATCCCGGGGTCCTGGGGATCGAGTCCCACATTGGGCTCCCCATGGGGAGTCTGCTTCTCCCCTGCTTCTCTCTCTGCCTATGTCTCTGCTTCTGTCTCTCTCATGAATAAGTGAAAATAAAATCTTAAAAAAAAAAAAAAAGCCCATTCAGTGAGTTTTAAAATTTTAGTTATTGTATTTTTCAGTTCAACATTTCTATTTGGTTCTTTTTATGTCTTTTGTTTCTCCAGATTTCTATTTGAGAAATATACAGTCTATATTTTTATTTACTTCAAGAACATTCATGCTTAGTTCTTAAAGTATGATGTTACCATCTGCTTTAGTCTTTGATAATTCTAACATCTGTGTCATGTGGGGTTGGTATTTGTTGACTATCTTTTCCCCTGCCACGTCTTTGGGATTTTCCTGGTTCTTCATATGTCAAATAATTATAGCTGATATTCTGGATGCTTTGAGAATTTTGTTGTGAGATGCTGAGTCTTCTTTAAATTCTATGGAGAATGTTAATTTTTGTTTTAGCAAATAACTGACCAGGTTAGGTTCTACCTCCTGGGCCAAGTGGTGAGAGGATAGAGAGAAAAATAAAAGCAATCAGGATTCTCCTCCTGCTCTCAGTCAGAGATTTAGGCAGATGTGCCACCACTGCTGCAGCCACAGGACTGCCTAGAGGCTGGGGTGGGGGGAAAAAGGAAGAAGGAGAAAGAAAAAAAAAAAACCCTAGGGGAATCCTCCAATTCTCTGTCCTGTAGGATCTCATTTACTGCACTGTAGACCAGAAAGAGAAGCCTTCTTTGCACCTGCTATACAGTTCCAGATTTCAGGCTATCACGAAAGCCATATCAGAAGCAAAATAGAACACTAATCACCAGTTTGATGTTACTTTGAGTTCCCTAACACACCATCCAGAGTCCTTAGATAGCTACACTTCGTGCTTTTGGTCCAGCTTTTGCTTTTAATTATATTTAGCAGGAAAGAAAAGGTGGGGTGTGCTTACCCCATCTCACTGGGAACTGGAACCACACCAGGGCCTCTTAACTCTACCATACAACTAGGTAGGTGAATCACTGTGTAGGTATATGTGGATATTCTAGTCAGGGATTGGCAAACTTTCTGTAAAGGGCCAGACGGTAAATATTTTTGCTTTGTAGCCCTATGGTCTTTGTTGCAACTACTCAACCTACTCTTTTTTCTTTCCTTTTCTTTCTGTAATCTTTGCACACAATGTGGGGCTCAAACTCATAATCCCCAAATTAAGAGTCACATGCTCTATTGACTGAGCTAGCCAGCCCCTCAATCTACTCAGTTTTGCTGCAGTAGTGTGAAAGCAGCCACACAATATGTAAACAAATGGGCATGGCTATCCTGGAACAAAACTTCAATTAAATAAACAAGTGACAGGCTAGATTTGGCCCAAAGTAAAGTTGGCTAATGGCAAAGTTCATTTTGGACTCTTTTCCATTTCTTGGCAGAATTCAGATAACTACCTAAGTTATTGCTCTGCTCTTCCATTCCTTTTTTTTTTTTTTTAAGATTTTATTTATTTATTCATGAGAGATACACAGAGAGAGAGAGAGAGAGAGGCAGAGACACAGGCAGAGGGAGAAGCAGGCTCCATGCCAGGAGCCTGACGCGGGACCCAATCCCGGAACTCCAGGATCATGCCCTGGGCTAAAGGCAGGCACTAAACCGCTGAGCCACCCGGGCTGCACATGCTCTTCCATTCCTAATCCTGTTATGTGCAAGAACTATGGTGCACATTCAATTTTGGTTGGATTATGCTCTTTGTTGAAATAGTTACTCCTCTGGAGCTAACGTCTTAAAAACTAAAATTCAAGGAGTTTTGTTCACATATAACCAAAAATGCTAGTTATTTCAAATAAAAAAATCCTTATTTACAATTTTCTCAAGGATACCTTAAAGTAGAGGTCTTGGGTAACAGTGTTCCAACTTGTTTTTCCAGAGGCTAACTGATTGAAGGTGTAGAGAGACTGCTATCCTTTCACTCACCTGGTTTCCTGCCACAGAGATAGAAGGCTAGTCTGTCAGTCAGCTCATACTGTATTTCGACAAGGCGTTCCGCCAGTTCATGGTGCCCTCCTTGCCTACCAAGAGAAAACAAAGTACCATTTATATGCCTTACCAGCCACTGGCTCTCAAATGAAAAAATACAGAGATGTCTTCCAAGACACCTGAGCAATTTACCAAATGTGACTTCTTAGAATAATCAACCTTTTGTGTGAGGTAAATTGTCAAAGTCTACTTTGATTCCCACCTCTATAAACTGTTTTCATAGTCTGAACTACCCCCTCTCCTTTCCTAATTTACATAACAGAATACTTAATAAGGAAATGGAGGACTTATGGGACGTATAAAGAATCATTTCATTTAATGAGGCAGAAAATAAAACCAATAAATGATCTAGAGTAGAGGTTCTCAAAAATTAACTAGTGTGCTTTAAAAAAACATGTAGAAAAAAAAAAAAAAACATGTAGATATCCAGGCCCCAACCGTGGGAATTCTGAATCAGGACAGGACGAGTGTGAATGTCAATTTTGAAGAAGGTCCTTTCCTTAGGGATTCCTGATGCAGCCAGTCTGATTCCAGATGAGAGTTTAGTAACCACTTCAAGGTTTGTAATTCAGGGAGAGACAGACCAACAGAATGTACACAGCTCACACTTGTAGCTAGGTTTACCTGCTTAACTTCAATTTCTATAAGAGAAAACATGAGGTTTGTCTTTCTTAACTCACCAAGTAAATACTTAAGCTGCTTGAAATCCTTTTAGCAACCAGGCATATAAATAAATCATTACACGGAGAGACTATTTTATATGCAAGGTACACATGAGGAAACTCCAAAGTAAGTGACATTTAAGTATCAAGTACTGAGGGTTCTCTTCCTCTTAAAAGCTGAAGTCTCGTTTCTGCCACTTTCTTTTCCCACCTTTCAAGACACTACAAAATATTCCTCTGACCTACCACACGTTTGATTTCTGAGATACGGATCTCTTTCCCTCATTCTTTTTAAATAGCTGTGAAATCAGGAAGTATACTACAATTGATGGTACATCATCATTTAATCAGCTAAGTTGTTCTTAAGAGGTAGGTGACATAATGACGACCCATACAGTCAGTGGAGTCTCAGATCTAGGAAATACTATACTCCTCAATACCCAAGTTCTTATTATTCCTAGACACACTCTGCTCCACCCAGTAAACTCCTCTGCTGTGCTGAAAATGCCCTGTCCATCCCTCCCTCCTGAACATAAACTCAACCTCTTTCACTTGGAATGTCTTAGCTTCTCCTTCACTTGGAATGTCTTAGCTTCTCCTTCACACACCCAAATCCAACCCATTTTTTAAAGACCAACTAAAGAAGTTTCTTACTAACTTAGGTCACAACGAAGAAACCCTACATATGCCTTTTAAGACCAGTTATCCATTTTGGCAACGAATTCCACATTACCTTGCCTCCTTTAACTCTTTCATGTATTTATGAATCATCTCCTCCATGAGATAACAAATTCTGGGAAGGCACAATTTTGGCATTTCACCCATTTTATCCTCTGCAGAACAGTAGAATGCTTTGCAGTTGATAAAAAATTAATTTGGAAAAAGAAAGATGAGCCATCTTCTACCATTTAAATGATATTCAAGGCTAACATGGATTTTTTTTCTTTTTCCAGCATTTCACAAAGTTTTTAAAACAAGAAGAAACTTAAGGAATTTTATTGCAAGCACCCAGACATCTGCTACCTAAAACCTATAATTAACATTTTACTATTACTTGTTAAATGCCTACCTATCTATATAGCTCTGTTTTTTAAGTTCAAGCAATGACTAAACATATTAAGAAACTGAGGAGTGGGTTTTGCAATTCTTGATACTTGCTTTGGACTATGGCTCAAATACCATTGCATTAGAAGTCATTTGAAAGACTGGAAGCTAAGCACATTAGCTAAGCTAATGGTTCTACCTCCTCCCACTTTGCCAGGCTCTGAGCTCTTATGTATTTGAAATGCCTTCATCTGTAAAATAATAGAAGGTGTATATCCTTAACTTAAAGGGGTTAAATGTTAATCATACACAATTTAGCCACCAACAATGAATCATACCCAACATAATCCCTAACCGAAGATGCAGTGACAAGAAATCTAGGTCTCTCACCTTGCATAATCCACAGGAGTTTTTCCACTAGAATCCTGTGTGCCTGGGTCTGCTCCATATACTGCCAATAATTCTGCCTGTAAAATCTGCCCTGCTTTGGAGGCAACGTGGAGTGGGGTGTTTCCTTTTTCCTGAGAAATATTAATAAAAAGTAGATAAACAAGCAAATTAAATAAAACTAAAGGCTACAACACAACCCACTTAGTTTCAATTTAGTATCTGAATCAATTCATGCTTTTCTCACAGGGTGAAAGAAGTTGGCTTGTGCTCCTAAAGATAACAGCCTCAAACAGGTTTCAAGATTCCCTGTTCTCACGCTTGAATGAAGTTGCTGAAAAACACACAAATCAAAAAAGTATTTGTTAAAAGTGTAAAGAATGGTATACTATAGCAGCTGGCAGATCATTTTAATATACATTATATTAGTGATAATCAGTTATTTAGCTCAGTAAGGATGGAAGCATCAGCCTCTCCCTTGCTGGACATAACCACCCCAGAGCTCTCAGGTGGGGCCAAGTCCATTTTACTGATAAGGAAATAAGGACTGGGAAGGCTGATCTGCCCAAATGCACAATCTAAGTGGTACAATCAGACCTGAAGTGAAAGGGGGTATGAGAAGATAGGTGAACACAGCTCTGAAGTCTCAAAGACCTGAAGTTCAAACCATATACCCTTCAAGTTGTGTGACCTTGTGGAAGTTCTTTAAACAATCTGAACCTTAGTTTTCTCAGCTCTAAAATGGTGAAAACAATGCCACCTATTCACAGGATTACTGTAAGGAGTCAATGATATGACAAAATGCTCAGCATGGGGCCTGGTATACAGGAAACACTCAAAGAATACAACTGCTGTTATTATAATCATCATTATTATTTGTTGTTATTTAACCTAGGGCTTTAGGGCTGTGTACCCCATGCTGTAAACTACTGGATTCTGCTTTATAGCACACCCTCCTCATAACAACATTCTTGGCCTTGTATACAATACTTTAACAAAATCTTTCAGGGTGGGAAATAGGCCTGGTGTATACCAAATTCTGTACCACTGCAGAAAAGCTCTTAAACATGAAGATGATTAGCTGCTTTTTTCAAGTCTAACCTAGAATTGTCTAAAATGCAATAACCCGTATTATAAAAATGCAGAAGTCTACTCCAGCATCTATATCCACACCTCATTTTTACAATTAACGTATTTAATATTCTATAAGTTGTGGTAAAAACCCCATGCCAAGCCTTATTAACGGAAGTAACAGTTATATATGTTTTCTATGCAAAGTTTAAAATTCCTTTTTTTTTTGCAAAGTTTAAAATTCTGATTGCGAGTGTCCAAGCTCTGTGTGAACATTTCTTAAAAGCAGTGCTTTGAAAATAAAAATGCATGTTTCTCATGGCATCTCTCAAAATCATGCAAAGGCCCACATAAAGAAAACCATCTACTCATTTTACAAGTATAATAAAGAATCATAAGCACTACAGCTTTCAGTCATCCTGCTTCCTGAAGATCCTACTCAGTATGCAACCCAGAAACCTAAAGAGGTCCCTCAAACTTTCTAGTCCCTTCTAGAAACAAACTCAAGGGATGGTTCCTATTTTAAAGTTAAATGAAAAACTTTTAGGGATATAATTTTAGGGGTGTCTGGGTGGCTCAGTTGGTTAAGCGTCTGTCTTCGGCTCAGGTCATGATCCCAGGATCCTGGGATCAGTTCAGTGGGGAGTCTGCTTCTCCCTCTCCCTCTCCCTCTGCCCCTCCACCTGCTCGTGCTCACCTTCTCTCTCTTTTTTAAAAAAGATTTTAATTATTTGAGATAAAGATTTTATTTATTTATTTATTTGAGAGAGAGATAGTGAAAGAGAGAACATGAGCAGTCGGGAGAGGGAGAAGCAGGTTTCCTGCGGGGTTCAATCAGAGGATCCTGGGGGCGGAGGACTAAACACATTATCTGGATCCTGAATTGAAGGCAGGTGCTCAACCAACTGAGCCACCCAGGTGCCTCAAGAAATATAATTTCAAAACCATTTCTGAAAAACATAAATAATTTTATAGATACATACTTATTTTTCCTTGTACCTCCTTGTACCTCCACTAACACAGAATGGCTGCCATTTGAACTAAAATTAAAGATGTAACCAATTGCAAAAAAGGTTGTTATTAATTATTTAGAGTACAGAAAGTTTCTGTTTTTTCTTTTCTTCCTCTTTAAGTTTTTTTCAAACAAAATAATATATCATTTGATCCAGCAGTTTTAGGGATTTTAAAAAGCATGACCCACCTTGCTAAGATCTTTGGCAGTCATACTGTCATCATCCCGGCAAGGCAAGCGATGGACAAATGCTAACATCTGATATTTGGCTCTGATGAATTCTGCTTTATTAGGACTGATTACCATCCAGAAAAAAAAGAAAGAAAGAAAGCTGCTTACTTGCAGTTCAGATGCAACATTTCCCATTCTTTAGGCTGTAAAAAGAAAAGGAAGTGACCCATATCCCCTACTAGAGAAGAAAATGAATGACACTGAAATAAGTTCCAGCAGGAGTTTAAGACCTGAAGTCTCAAAACATCAATTAGTCATTCTAAAGGCCAGGACTGCAGAATACTTGCTTTTTAGAGCTTCTCTCTTTGTAATTTTCTTAACTGACCTACAGCCTTGTGAGGAAGCAGCATTATATCCCATCCTATAGGTGAGGCATCAGGCAGACCAGAGCCCAGAATGGAGATTTTTGGTCTGATTGCCTCTTGTTTGAGCACCTAAGATTAAATCAGATTACATTAACAGTCTCTGAGCATTAGTGTCAAACTGGAGAAGCCACTGGCTTGTGCTGTACAACCATGCAAAAGAGATGGTCCTGTGCCTGGCCTTGTTCTGCATTCCTAAGAGCAGAGAGCTCAATGCACAATTGGGGTGTAACCACCTCCTGTGCTGCCCTTGTGGGGGCTGGTCCAAAGTAGCTGCACTCCTCTTAGTGGGCCCCAAGTGTTATGAAGAAATAAAAGTATTTATAAACATTCCACTCACTGTACTTTATCCTGTGGATTAGCTTTACGTCTTCCGCTCATAATAGAGGCAGGGTCCAGCAAAGAATGTTCCCATATAGAATTAGCACCATTATTGTACAAAGTTTCAACCATCTAAAAACCAAGCAGTATAAAATCATATTTTAATTTCTTTCCACAAATATTCACTGGAAATTGTAGTGACTGAACTGGGAAAACCAAGACCCACTGCACGGCGAGGATGTCTTACAAATCATTGCTTTCTGATTCTAGAATGAGAAAGATGAACCTATATGCAGGATTCAGGTCTGACCAGGAAGACGGCTAAGTACCTAAAAGAGTTTGATTAGATTGTTCTTACAGATTATGAAGGAAGAGCACTTTGACACTTTGGGGTAAGCCTGATTATCCAAATACTATTTTCAAGATTCTTAACCCATGTACTGTCTAGACTTTCCATCTAATATTTTTCTTTAAATCTACTCATTAAAAAAAAAACAAACTTTTACTAGCAATTATGGCTTGATGTGCTAGTTAAAGTTTTCCAATACACAGTAAAATAATGCAACCATTAAAATAAATATGTATTACCTACATCTGTCTTTTGAGTACCACTGGTGGTTCATGTGCCATACTTTCAGAATTGTTCTTTTAGGGTCAAGCCTGGCATTTTAAACTACTCATCTCCGGACTTTCTTCAGGCCCTATAATGAAATCTGTAAACAAAGACCTGAGAGCAGTAAATACCCACTTTCACATGAGAAGGAGTTGTTAGAAACTTCTGAGTAAAAGTTATTAATAAACCGTATTTCCCAATTTCATTTCAAAGCATGACTCCTGACCCAGCCCCATCTCTGTTTCTGCATTAGTGGAGACACTGTCACATCAGAGACCCAAACCCACTTGTTTTAGTCCCCTGGGCTTATACAGGCAAGTTTAAGAGACACATTGTGCAGCTGCCACAGATTTAGTAAAATATGTACTCAAGACAAATGAAGGCAAAACATATGCTTAATTCTGACTTCCAAATAAAACTTGAAGAATGTGCACCCCAAAATAGAAGTACAGGTGACATGACACTCAACCCCAAATAAAACAAAGACCTCACTTAACACTTAGCAGTGTAGGGCATTCAATCGAAACATGTTAACTCAATATCCTCTTTTTTTTTTTTAATTTTTTTTAATTTTTATTTATTTATGATAGTCACAGAGAGAGAAAGAGAGAGAGGCAGAGGCATAGGGAGAAGCAGGCTCCATGCACCGGGAGCCCAATGTGGGATTCGATCCCGGGTCTCCAGGATCGCGCCCTGGGCCAAAGGCAGGCGCCAAACCGCTGCGCCACCCAGGGATCCCTCAATATCCTCTTTAACCTGTAACAAGAACTTCAAGAAAACTTAAATCAGATGTTTCAGGAATTTTAGAGGAATCTCAGTCCATGCTTCCATCAAAGCAGGAAATGTAAGGAATAGCCTGAGACTGTAGCTTTCAGAAACATTTATTGTGGTATACAGAAAAGATGGACTATTTAAATATAATTTCTGGTGACAGTCCAGAAAGTGACCAGTAAAATGCTACCAAGAAATTTTAACAATTATTTTTGTATCTATAATTAAGATTTTGGCACAAGATTTAGTTGTTAGGAGAGGGATAAAAAAATCTCGAATGACAAATTCAGTTCTTACATACAGCATTAATAGGCATAGCACCTCTATTCAGCTGATTGAAACATATTTGTAAGATTTAAGGAGTAGGAGAAATTTTAGTTCCTAAAACTATGAGCCCGAAGAGCTCAAATTACAAACTGTGAGAATTCTTAGTCTTTACCTGCAGCAACGTGGGAGGCCACGGTGTGTGTTTAAGATGCCTTACTTGAGAGATGTGGCGCCCTAGGCTCCGATGGACACTGCAGCACTCGTCACATATAAAAGTTCCCCTATTTACTGAGGCCCAGGAAGGATCTGGAAAGAAGAATGACATCTCAATGGCGAGGATACCAGGTGGCTGCTATACTGCCAGATGGCCAAAGATGACTGAGGTTTGGTTTTTCAGAAAAACAAGACATTTCTGTTGTTTTATTTTTATTTTTTTTATTTCTGTCGTTTTAGAATGCTAGTCAACACACAAAGCTGGTGAGCCTGTCTGATGTTACCACCTATCTTGGCTGATCGAGTACCACATTAATTGAGACTAAACACATGAGCTGAAGCCCTAAATAACCAGTTGTCTCCTTCTGGTACAGGGCTACAGTCTGTAGACCTAATATAATCTACCATCTCAGAGGCATGCTCCTGCACTCAACATAGGACAAACAAACTGAGAGGGTACAGGTGAATCATTTCAAATCCATCTCTACAAACAGCAAGATAACATAACCATGTCAGTGAAAAATCCACATAGCATTATCTGAAGTAAATGGTGAAGAAACTGTAACCCTAATCTACTGCCATATCTCTGCATGGCTCTGGGCTCAGCAGAAAGCTGCAAGCAACACAACAGTAAAACTGTTGGCTGTGGTGGCTTGGAGGACACACTGAGGAACCTGGCCTTCTCTGCTAGGAAATGTTCTATGACATCCATTAGTCATTTCAAATAAACTGCTAAGTTCTACCTTGCAACTGATCTGAAAGAACAGAAGTGGGAACAACAGCAACCTCAAAGAGGTAAAGATGTAAAATAAAAGTGAGTAATATTTTTGGTGCATGTACAATACTTTTTCCCACCAAGTCTCATGGAGCTTTAGCAGACATCCTTTGAGACGACATAATTCGTAGTTGGTAAGCAGTGAGAATAATCCACACTGGGCAAGTAAACTGAACACATACTTAGAAACCCCAGATTTCGTCAGACTCACAATGGGGTGACAATAGGTGCCACTCAAGCTGCTTGGTCTAAGAGTTATATTTAAAAATTATTCAATGTCCACAAAAATCTCTAAAATGCATGTACACCATCTTTACCATTTTTAACAGTTTATTCAAATCCTTTCCAACCATATAATGAAAAGTTAGGAGATTTCAATCAGAGACAAATCCTGGGAGTCAGAGGGTGTGGTGGTTGAGAGGGTGGCTCTGGAGACAAGCAGTCCAGGGTTGGAACCCTAACTCTGCCACTTCTCGCACAATGATCTCAGACAAGTTATATGAGTATCCTCTCACTATGGATCGAATGGGAATAATAGCATATGTCAGAGTAGGGGGGCACATAAAGGGTAAAACTCCTTGCATATAGTAAGTACTCAGTAATGTGAGCTGTTATAACTACTCTAAATTATTTCCTAAGTACCATTCAGATATTTTCAAGGGCTCGCTGAAATTCTCGATAACTGAAAAAGTTTTTTTTTAATTTCTTAAAATTTATTCATGAGAGACACAGAGAGGCAGAGGCATAGGCATAGGGACAGGGAGAAGCAGGCTTCTTGTGGAGAACCCGATGCGGGACCTGATCCCAGGACCCTGGGATCATGACCTGAGCCAAAGGGAGATGCTCAACCACTGAGCCACCCAGGCATCCCTGAAAAAGTTTCTGATTGTCAATACTTAAAACATCAAATGATTCAGGTGAACTATTACTACAGTGAAAAATCTCAAGCGGAGTTTTCAGGTAGTTGAGTTCAGAGGACGAGCTATTTAAAATGAATGAGGTTTGGGGCACCTCAGTGGCTTAGCTGGTCAAGTGATTGACTCTTGATTTTGGCTCAGGTCATGATCTCAGAGTCATGAGATCAGTCTCCACACTCAGCACAGACTCTGCTTGGGATTTTCTCTCATCTCCTTCTGCCCCTCTCTGCAAGTGTGCAGGAGTATGTGAGTGCACACTAGCTGCCTTTCTCTCTATATATAAAATAAAAATTAATTCCAAATGAATTAAAGTCATTAAAAAAGAAAAGTATTTGCTAAAATGTGGTTATGGCTAAAGGTTTGCCCTGAAATAAAAGAGAATATTACTCAGCCATTAGAAACGACAAATACCCACCATTTGCATCAACGTGGATGGAACTGGAGGGTATTATGCTGAGTGAAGTAAGTCAATCGGAGAAGGACAAACAGTGTATGTTCTCATTCATTTGGGGAATATGAATAATAGTGAAAGAGATTATAAGGGAAGGGAGAAGAAATGTGTGGGAAATATCAGAAAGGGAGACAGAACATAAAGACTCCTAACTCTGGGAAATGAACTAGGGGTGGTGGAAGGGGAGGAGGGCGGGGGGTGGTGGGGGTGAATGGGTGACGGGCACTGAGGGGGACACTTGACGGGATGAGCGCTGGGTGTTATTCTGTATGTTGGTAAATTGAACACCAATAAAAATTAATTTATTAAAAAAAGAGAGAGAGAGAGAAAATAATTCATTGTAAGTATAACTCCGTCAATACTACTGTGCTATTCGGAAATGCAAAGATTGAAAACACGAAGATGAAAAATCCCTGCAAAGATCCCTACACTGCATTTTGTAGTCTGATACCCATACTACTACCTAAAAAAAAAAAAAAGACGATTTTGAAGCATAGCTTTGGTTTTCACCTATCATTCAGAGGATTCACAGTGTTCCTGGAGAAAATTAAATAGTAATTAGACAACAAGGATGTAATGCACATTAAGTGATGTTCTCAGTCGCTTTAATATCATGGATCAGAATCTCATGGAAAAAATATCAAAATGTTCACAACAAAGTAAAATCAAAATTGAGTTCATAGGAATGATGCTGGGTGAAACCTTTCCAGATTACCTAAATGTTCTATGCTGGGGCTTCTTCCTTGGGCTTCAGAAATGTCTATGGCCCCATTAAGAAGTTATAAGTTCTGTGTAAAAGAGTGATTACATGTGTATTTTCTGGGGAAAAGGCCTCAGCAGTCATCAGAATCTTTAAAGGAACTCCTAAAAGAAAGAGGCAACTCTTTGATTGGGGCTCTGCAGAAAAGGCAGCACAAATTCCTAGCTGCTCAAGTTCACACAACATTTCAAGGTAGCCTAATTATATTCAAAACAGGAAGGAAGTGACTCAAGTCTCTGTAGATTAGGCACTTGAGACAACACCGAAAATGATACAATGGAAGAGAAATGTTCTGAATTATGCACGAAATGCTGCAGAACAGCATGACAGTTATTAGTCTGGCAATGGAGAAGCTGTTTTCGTTCGTCCGCATCACCTAATGAGTAAAGAATACGCATTCCAAGAGGAAGTCTGAATCTAGACTCATGTGAAACAAACACATCACAGAAAGCCCAACTGAAAACAAGAAAATAAGGAAGTGGAACAAATAACATTTTCAGAGAATACAATGGAGTCTGTAATAACCCACACAAACTTGGTTCTCTTTTTCAACTCATCTACACCCCCCCCCCCGCGTCCCAATCTGCAAAGGAAACTGGTAACCCCACTTGCACTACACAGACCATGAAAGAACCACACAAGGTCTGACTTGCCACAGTACTATTTAAAATCCGTCTCTACTGCCATATAACAAGATGGAAGTTCAGAACAGTTGCAAAAAAAAAAAAAAAAAAAAAACCCTGGTTTTTTCAACGATTTCTTTAGGATTGTTAACTGGGAGCTACTGTAACCAATGGGGGCCATCTTACCTTTGAATTACTTCGAATTTCAAAGCAGGTTGGTTAATCCAGGCACCAAGACTAGCATAGAGACCTGTCAACTCAGTTTCAATTGCTAAGAGGGATCTACACTCTAAAGGTGAAAACCCTAAGCCCCTCATGCAAGTGAAGAATGGTTTTGGCCTTTCCACGCGCCCACCTGTCTGTCTATCCTGCCTGAATGCCCAAATGCACCTATTTGCTAGCGATTTTGTTTTGTATGTTGCAATTAATGTATGATGTTGAACCTCAAGTCTGTCTTTAAAGACCACAAAGGTTCTGTACTAAACAACGCAATACAAGAAAAGAAAAGAAAAGAAAAGAAAAGAAAAGAAAAGAAAAGAAAAGAAAAGAAAAGAAAAGAAACGAACGTAGATGAGAACGGACTCTTCTTACCACTGAATGTGGTTCTCCCAATGCTGGCCGTCGGAAAAATGAGGAAACTAAGGCTGGGCCAAATGAAATCACCAGCCCAAGGTCACCCACAGAGAAAACCCCGTTTGAACCCGGGCCGTTCGGATCCCCAAACTCCAGACACGCACCGCCTCCCAAGCAAGCGCTGGCTGAGCTTGCAGGACCCCGGCCTCCTGGAGATCGTCCCGGTGGAGGTGGAGCGGGCGCCGGGATGTCAGGGGCAGGAAGTCAGCCCTGGGGGTCCCCTCCCCTGGAGACTATCGGCGGACGGAAGCGGCGAGCGCGCCCACCCCGGGCAGGGCCCCCTCGCGGGCCGGGGCCGGGGCCGGGGCCGGGGCCGGGGCCGGGGCCGGGGGGCCGCGCGGGGAGGAGGGGAACACCTGCAGAGTCCGGGGGCCGCGGCCGGGAGAACGCCCGCGTTCCACTGGTGTAATCGGCCCTCCTGCGGATTGCCCAAGCCCCTTCCTGTTGGGGCAGCGGCCCCGACCCCGCAGCCTCCCCGCCCGGCCTGGGACAGAGCGGGCGAGAGGGGAGGTGAGGGGAGGTGAGGGGCGGGAGGGCGGCGGCCCCCGCGCCCGCCCGGCTCTGACAGGCCCGGCACGGGGGCCGCCCCGCGGCCGCCCCAGGTCCTCCTCCTCGCGACCCCGGGGGGCAGGGGTCGCACGCAGGGGCCCGCCCGACCCGAGGGGGCGGCCCCGGGGCAGGGGTCCCTCCGCGCCGAGCGGAGGGAAGCGGGCCCAGCCGGTGCGACTCACCCGGCCCGCTGCAGTCAGCGCACACCTCGCTGCTCCGAAGCCGCTTGGACATGGCTCCCGCCTCCCACCTGCCGGGAATCAGGGTCCCCGGGACAGTGAAGGCGGCGGCGGCGGCGCTTCCGCTCTAACGGGTCCCCGAGGCGGCGCAGGCGGCGGCGCCTCTCCCCTCAGCGCCTCGCAGCCGCGGCGCAGCGCGCACGCGCGGGGAGGCGCCCTTTGCCGACAGGCAGATCATGTGACCGGAAAGGGCACGCTACCTTGCCGCCATCTTGAGTGAGGGCAGATATGTGCCCCCGCATCTCCTGCCCTGTTTATGCGTATTTTCTTCATTTTGAGTTTCTCTCTCTCTCTCTCTCTTTGCAAGTCCCAGTGCTGATTAATACGAGGGGAAGCAGCAAAATCTAATGGCCAGGGTTTTGCAGCCACAAGTTTCCTGAGGCAATCAATAGTCAAGTGACTTGGTATAACTGGTCAAATTCATTCGCTTGCCCAGTATTTATTGAGCATCTACTATATTCCACAGACTGTTCCAGGCGCAAGAGAAATAACAGCAAAGAAGACAAAATTTTTTTCTTATGGCGCTTACATTCTGCTGTGGTAGATCTACAATAAAATAAAATAAGCAACAGTAGGTGTTCCTTTGGCTGCAGTTTTCGACTCATGTGCAAGATGGAACGGATGTGTTATCTCCCTCTAGTCCACGTTTTTTTGGCTTGTCTTGCTATCTAAGAATGATTTTTACATTTATAAAGGGTTGTAAAGAAGAAAAAGGAGAAGAGGGAGTGGATGAAGAATAGCTGAAAAAAACCCTCATATGTTTTTTTTTTTTTTTCCAAAAAGCTAAATATTTACTACCCAGCTAAGGACAAATGGGATAATTTACAGAAAAATAAGGTGTGCCGCCCCATAGTAAATACTCAGTAATAGTAGCTCACACTATTATTGGTATTTGGTATTACGATTATTTTCTAATCACAACTTTTTGCTTTTGAGAATAAGAATAGATAATCTACAGTGATCCACAGGTTGGAGTGAGATAAACACATGAGATGAATTTAATCAGTGTGAAGGAGAGAAGACATGTGACCCTAATACTAATGAATATTTATTGCATGTATTATATGTAAACGCAGCCATGATCTCCATTCAGCAAATACTGGATGCCTTTTAAGGGCCAGGCACTGCTTTGACTTTAGATATTCTGGTAAGCAGCCATTGTGGAGTTTTTCAACTCATGAATAAGAGAGAGTTCAATAAACATTGAAGGATGAAGGGAAAGGTGAAGTTGCAAAAGCTTCTGGAAAAATAGGAAGTACTGGAATAGGACTTAGAAGCCCTGGTTTTTGGCCTATCTCTCCATTGTGTTAAATGTGTGGCGTCAGAATCCACACATTCCACGCCGAGAGCTCCTGTGGGCCATCCTGATGCCCCTATATCCTGTTTTGGTTCGCAGACTCACAAATCTTCGGGACTCAACACGTGTGGAGAACGGATTAGGCCAGGATTCTTGAACAGCTGTTGTTGCAGGCATCTGAAAAGCTGGATGCACACAAGCAAGGGGAGGCAGAGGGGATGCTTTCGGGATGCATTAAATAACTTCACCCAGCTGTGCAGTCTAGTTGTGGACAACTGTGCAGATAGCTTAGGCTGGTGAGTAGCTTAAGTTGACTTGGCTCTTCATCGAATCACAGAGCTGTAGTGTCTGAGCTTGCAACCCAAAGAATGTACTTAATATTTGCAGAATGTGTCCAATTCTGGGTATTGTCTATTAGTCTTTTTAGCCATAATCCAAAACTCAAGTGGCTAAGTTTCAAGAAAAAATGACCTTCTTATGTGGAATAAACAACCCCCACAGGTGCCTTTGAATTATAACCCAGTTCGGAGTTCACACAGAACAGTGTTTCTCAACTATTGCGGATGATTTTCCCCCATCCAGGGGACATTTGGCAATGTCTGGAGACAGTTGGGGCGGAGGAGTGCTCCGGCATCTAATGGGCAGAAAGGCCAGAGATGGTGCTCAGCATCCTACAAAGCCCAGGACAACCCCACCCCCCCCACCCCCACCCCACGCCCCCGGAAAGAAAATGACTGAGTTTCCAATGTGCCCATGCAGAGAAACCCTGAGAAAGAACAATCCCCTGGCGTTGCAGATCTTTAATGCCACTTCCCCTGAGTTTAGAACTCCTCCTTTAACATTGTTTAGTGTTGTCCGCTTCCAAAGCGGCTTCTGGCCAATCGTGGAGGCGCTGCCCAGTTCCAAAAAGGCTGCAAGGGAGTCAGTAACTGGAATGGTTCGGCCCGGGTCCCAGCTGCCTCCCCCTGAAGGCCGAGCGTATGGAACAGGCCCAGTTGTGGACTGAACCATGTGAGATCGCTGGAGCAGGGGGGAAGCGGCTGGTGACGGGCAGGCCGAGGTTTGAGGGTAGAGGTCCCGGGGTCAAGGCGAGGGCCTTAGCTCTGTTTTGGGCTGGCTCTGTGTGTCCCGGTGTGTAGGCGGGGGCGGGCGGGATCGGGCCGGCCCCGGGCCGGGTGGCTGGCCTCGCCTCCCCCGCCGCGGCGTGCGGTGGTTCGCCCCGCGCACTTCCCTGTTTGGGGCAGTTCGGCCCGCAGAAGTCGGTTCGGGAGCTGTCAGCGCGGGCGGGAGCTCGGCGGGGCGCGGGGTGGGCGCGGCCGACCCGGTCCCCGACCCCGACCCGGCCCGCGACCCCCGACCTCCCGCGCGCCCCGCCCCCGGCCCGTAGGCCGCCCCGCCGCCTACCGCCCTACCGCGCCCGTCGCTCGCTGGCTCGCTCGCTCGCTCGCCCGCTTGGTGCTCTCTCTCTCGCCGGCCTCCTGGCGGGCGGGCAGGCGGGCGCCGGAGACCCCGCCGGGGCTGAGGCTTGGCGAGCGGGCGGCGAGGGCCTGGCGGCGGCGTTTTCGCCATGTCCTCGGCCCGCGACAGCAGCGGCCACTTTCCCTTGCACCTCCTGGTCTGGAACAACGACTACCGGCAGCTGGAGCAGGAGCTGCGGGGCCAGGTGAGGGGCGGGGGCGGGGCGGGGCGGGGCGGGGCGGGGGGTCGCTGAGCCCCCACGGCTGAGCCCATCTGCAGCCCTCTGCAGCCCTCTGCCTCCGGGGCCCTGCAGCCGTGGGACGGTATTGATTAGAGGACGTGTATCGGAGTGCTGACGGCGCGCCAGGCCCTGTGCCGGGGCTTTGGTGGACAGTGCGTCTTTTAGCTTTTACAACCGTCCTAGGAGGTGGGTACTGTTGTTTTTACATTTGCCGGAGAAGGAAACTGAGGCTCTCAGAGGTTATCTGCCTTGCGCAACATCTCCTCCCTAATACGTACCGAGTCGGGGCTTTAACTCTGGCCGGCTGGTTCCAGAGTGCACTCCCTGAACCAATTAGGCTCGACGGCCTCTCCCAAAGAGGTGAGAACAGCACACGCCGCTCACCCCACCCAGCCCTTTTGTCAGGAAGGGCTTGGTTGGGTTTGAGCCCAGGTTCTAACTCGCCCTGTGACCTTGGGCAAGGCATTTTCCCTCTGTGGCCTTAGGGAGGCTGATACATACCAAAGTTTTGAGAATCACTGGTGCCCAGGATCCTTAAAACCTCTTTCTGTCCTTAAGTGCCTTGATTCCTTGTCATTGATTTGTTGCCATCTTTTTAAAGCGGTGGATCTCAGTTGGAGGTGATTTTTGATGTACACCTCCCTACCCCCGCCCCCCCCCCCCCGTGGTAATGCTTGGAGACAGTTTTAGTGGTTACCAGTGGGGAATGGGTACTATCGTGAGGCCAGGGATGTTGCTCACCATCCTACAGTGCACAAGACAGCTCTCAACAACAGGATTACCTGGCTCAAGACGTCAGTAGTGTTCTGCTTGAGAAACCCTGCTTTTAAAGGCATCTTAACAATTCTGGGAGTTATTGGTGCCCTCAAGTTATAAGCTAACACACTTAGCAATTAGGATAAGGATTTGTAATTATTTGGTGTAATTCTTGTTGACTTTGAAGTCCTGATTTTTTTTTTCTTCAAGATTTTATTTATTTATTTGAGAGAGGAGAGAGAGCACGAGCAGGGAGAGGGGCAGAGAGAAGCAGACTCCCTGCTGAGCCGGGGGCCCACCATGGGCTCCATCCCAGGACCTCAGGATCATGACCTGAGCTGAAGGCAGATACTTAACCAACTGAGCCACCCAGGGCCAACTTCAGCCCCTGAAGTCTATTTTTGAATGGCTCAAAATCGATACTATAATTGTCAAGAAATTTTAGAGAAAAAGGAGCACTTTTGGTTGGCAAAAATTGAGCAAGGTCAGCAACACCCTGTTTGGTGACTGGTTACTGCTAAGTGAGTGTGTTCTTGCACCCTGCTATGTAAAAAAAATTGTTGAGCACTTGCTGGGAGTCAGGAGTTGCTCTTTTTTCATTTAAATCCTCTGTCCAGACAGAATAAACTTTTATTGTAGGAGTCATTGGTCTTAATTAGATCACGCCCCCAGAGTAGATGATTCACTATTAGGTGTACCAGTATACCTGGTGATTTCATTCGCTTTCTGTTATTAGATGTGGTGCAGAGGGGAATCCTCCATCATTTTGCTCTTAGCTCTAAGTGTTCTCATCTTGGACACTTGAAAAATGACCAGACAATCCTGCTGTGCTGTGCATCTGCACTTCCTCAGTATCTGGGCTGCCCCAGCTTCTTATGAAATATTGAGATAAAGTACAAAGAAAGTCACAGAATTAAGTCCCTTTTGATAGAGAAGTTTATTGCCATCATTAAGCCACAGACTCTTTCAATACTGATTTCTGAAAACAGCAGGCTTTCTATTCATCGAGGGTGAAGAAAAGAGCTTGAATGAGGTGCAGTTTTTCTATAAGGAGAAGATAAGAACACGGTCTTGGTTTGCAATCTAAGATGTGGCATAGTTGTATTCTCTCCTTTTTCCTGTAAGCTGTAATGAAAGTGTTCATTGGAAGTTCTCTGTGCCTTTTTACCTTGAAAACCATTAAGGATATTTGTGATCAGAGAATTATAATTCTGCAGCAGATTTTCCTGGAGTAAATTGATCCTTCACACTTTTACTGTCAAGGGGGTCAAAGAAAGAATGTTCATTCTTGCTAATTACTTGGTTTTGACTTTGTTATTGGTTATTCCTGTAGATTATTTCATAGCATACCAGTCCCCTCTGAGTAAGAAGTA